GATTGAAAGATATTAATTTTCATGTGATGGATGATATAAACCAAGAATAATACGAGATGAATAAAACAAGTGCAGAGATTTATTTGATTCGTGGGCATAATGCTGTAACAAGCTGTACAGAAAATTTTGATAAATGCCTCTAGTAGTAGAGACATATTTATTTTCATTCGATTAGTAACATTACAAGTATGCAATATTGATAAAATAACTCCATTAGTAACAAGGAAATATTGATATAATAATTCCATCAGTAACATCATCAGGAGGCAATATTGATACAATAATTCCATTAGTAACATCATCAGTAGGCAATATTGCTATAATATTTTTTCTGTAACATCATCAGTAGGTAATATTGCTATAATATTTTTTCAGTAACATCATCAGTAGGCAATATTGCTATAATATTTTTTCTGTAACATCATGAGTAGGCAATATTGATATAATAACTTTTACAGTAATTGTTCTCGTGCTGCAGGAGCTGACACTGAGATGGATACGCACGAGCCTCGTGATCTGCCTTCTGCACACCACAGTCAGGGCAGGACATGTGAGTAATGAGCTAATTGTTCTATTTATTTTCAATCAAACTAAAGAACGTAAAAAGGATTGATAAACTATAAATAACTTGATAAATAATATAACGAAGATGTTGCACAAATATCTAAATAGGCACAGCCGTTTGAACAATATTTTTTATTTTATTAATTTTTTGCTAAAATTAAATTCCGGCCTCAGAAAAGCAGAGATTTCGATTCACCTTTTGGTAGATTTATTCTCAATAAATGAATCTGGCAGTGGATGTTTTTCCGAACAGGGACCACCAAAGCCGTACAAATTTTCCTACGAAGTGGACGCCAAAGATGATAAAAATGAACTAAACTACGGGCATGAGCAAGAGTCTGATGGACATACCACCAAGGGCATGTACAAAGTCGACCTGCCCGACGGCAGAAAACAAATTGTAAGAAATTAAATTATTTAGTATAGTTGGACGAGTAGCATCTTCATGTCTGTGAGAGTGAAGAGTAGACTTGTTGGAAATCACAGAATTAGAGGATGCGATTTGACCAGGTTTTATCTTACGTAATTGTTCCGTGATATAAATTATTGGAATATTTTAAAATAGGTATCAGGAATTGATGTCGGAAAAACACCGAGATGAACAAGTGTAGGATAATGATATAATGAGGAACATTTTACTGATATAATTTTTTTTTATATAAATAATAACATTGTACAGTCAAAAGGACGCTCAATTTTCAGGTTACTTATGAAGTAGACCACGATTCTGGTTTCAAAGCTGAGGTGACGTTCGAAGGAGAAGCGAAATTCCCAGATAAAGGAGACGATAAAGGAGGTAAAGGAGGAGACGATGGCGGTGATAAGAAAGGTGGTGGAGGAGACGGTGGCAAGGATAAAGGTGGAGGGAAGAAGAAAGGTGGCGGCGGTGGAAAGAAGAAAGGAAAGGGAGACGACAAGAAGGGCGACGATGATGACGACGATTGGTATGGGTCTTTCAAGGGATATGATTTCGAATTTTAGTACAAGCTTTCACAAATAGTCTTCGTATTTAACACTTTAAATTGAGCGACCGATGTAAAAAGAATTAGCGAACTGATAGAAGAATCTCTTTTGACTAGCGAATAATAATAACTGGTACATTTCATACGTCTTCTTATGGAAAAATGTCCTCAGTATTGACCCGTTTATATCTTGTACTGTTCTTTGATTAATTAAAAAAACTCAAATCCTTCAATAAATGGCAAAGTTCATCACTGGGGAGACAACGATTTATTTCGTGTAATTATTTGAGAGCGAGTGAACACAAAACTTCAAAGTTCATTTTAATTTTCAAGATAGAATTAATATCGTTAAACAAAAATTAAATTTACGGCATGATTAGCTGTTACATCATCTCTAGAAATTCCGAGACTAAAATCTAGATTCTGAGGTGTTAACCATAAAACATAGAATGCATTCAAAACGCCCTAACTATATGGCCACAATATCGTGACATAACGGCTATCATAATTGTCAATTATTAGTGATGTAAATAAACACGGACAAATTCGTCGAGTTTTCTATGACATGAATACGAATCTGGGATGAAGTGCGATTCATTTAATTGACGCTCTGGTAACGCACCGAATTTACTCGGCCTTTGAACAGCTTACACTTCGATCAGTTAATTAAATTCAAAGAAAGCAATATCATTAGGCCATATCTAAAGATGGATAAGTAAGAGAAACCTAGTTAGACAGCTTTTTTCTCAGACGCTTCAGATTTTGAAAGCCAGTGATTTCGCTAAGCGAAACACAAATACCACTCAAACCTAATGTAGGTGAATTCTAGCATGAGCAGCAATTTTTTTGGACGCTTTCTCGCTTTCTTTTAAATATGATAGAGAAGAAATCTAGAGCAGCAAGAAAGCACAAAGAGCAAGGAAGGTAGCAGGCGCCAAGCTGGATGGAACGCCCAGCGTCAGCTGTTCGACTAATGTAATAACTAAGCCCGAACCTAGCCTGTTATGACACTCTCGAGAGAAAGACTCGTAGCGCCCAGTGAAAGTGCCTGCTGCTACCGAGTGCAGTTCTAAAATTGAGTCACGATGTCCAGAACAAAGTGGCCTCTAGTGAAACAGACGGGAAGAAAAAAAATATATCATACCCTCACCAGACACAAATAAAAAGATAAATGGACGGGAAGCGACCGTGACGCAGCAAGATTCTTATTCGCACTAATGAGCATGAAAGCACGTCTTGAAACACACACTTTCCGCTTGCAAATGCTCTTTATGGTATAATAAAAGTAGTGGAAATGGAGCAGTACAACCACATCAAAAGATTACTTGATCATTCTAATCCTGAAAAGTATTAACATTAGTGCTTAATTAATGACCCATTTAAGAGTGTAGTTTCATAATCGCTAAATTAAGAGCCAAAAATTAAGATTTGCCGTATCCTTAAAAGGAAGTAGTTTAGTGAATGTTTCGATGAATGCATTCCTCTAGTATTGTCAAAGCATGGAGAAATTATTCATATATATTAGGTGCAAATAATTTTTTTCGGCTTGCACAAAGTGTATATTTCACGCATGCTAGTCGCAAATTCGACTATAACATTTTTTAGCATTAATACCAAACTTGATACATGTGAAAACATATAAGAAAACAGTGCAATCGCGTTTTAATCCACGCCGAAGCAGCGAAGTAAACTTAGAAGCAACTTCACGAAACACAGACCAGTTTACACAACAGTATTGGAAGCCGGGCTATCAAGATGCAGCTACAGCAAAAGTGATAGGGCTCAAAGTATCGTGTAAGGATCACATGAGAAATCTATTCGAAGTAGCACGAGCATTGCACAGTGTAACCGATGCGTGATAAGATCGGCGAGTTGCAAGGCTTCTATGATCGCTCCACTGCACATTCTTAGCTAATCTTCATCGACAGAGAACTGATACACTGCGCACTAGCTGCAACACAACGAGCAGCACACACGCGTCCGCTGTACGAAAGTGGTCTCTCGCAATCCGACTTAACGTGACCTACCGCAGCATTTGATTCTCACGGAGCTGAAATTCATATCATGCAAATTGAAGAGTCTTCCCGACTTGCTTTTCAGTTACCGTAAAAAAATATTTTTTGTGATTCATTTGGAACAGTAAGAATTAACAAACATGAAAAGGCGAATAATTTAAATTTATACTAAACAGTGGCAGACTATCCATACTAAAAAAAATTAATTAGACAAATTACTTATGTAATGGTGCAATGTTTCTTCTTTGCTTCATTTAACACTGACCACTTAATACGGCGTTGACCGAGATAGATTTTCATCTAGCTAATTTACAAGCTAAAATAGAGTTTATCATATAGGGGACTGATCAAACATACACTAAAACAAAGAAATCTAATGCAACTCCAGTTTCGAAGTTCGAAAGAAATAGATTTTTTTCTAATTTAAACAAAAATTAAATCTACTAGATAAAATACAAAATAGACATTTTTATACCAACCCCCTTTACTTCTTTTTGCTATGCTTCATGATTTCACACTACAAATAGAATTTGGAATCCAGACAATATCCCTATATACGATCGATCATAAGACAGAAACGCGCTCAAACGTACTTGCCCTAGAGCCAATTGATCGTTAAACATCGTAGATTCACTAGATTGTGAGTCATATTCGTTGAAACGAAATTAAAACCATATTTCCTTTTCGTTTAATTAACGTTATTTCAACGCTAGACATCTGTTGGGAGAGTACCTTCAGTTTCAGACTTCGGAAAAAAAGACTTTTATATAAATATATAATATATTGAAGAATACAAATCATGCCTTTTTTATAAGTGAACTGCAAGTCGTCACAAGAGAGAACGCAAAACTCACGAGCTCCAATTACGACCAAAGTGAAGCAGAAGCGACGATTAACGAAGGTGTGCGTGTCCTAGGAAGGGTTTTGACACCGACATGTGCGCATGCAAATAGCGTTGTATGGCGACGGCAGTCAAAAGTCATCACGCAAAGACTATATAATGGCAGCCGCGCAGACTAGGCATCACTTGCCCTAGAGCCAATTGATCGTTAAACATCGTAGATTCACTAGATTGTGAGTCATTTTCGTTGAAACGAAATTAAAACCAAATTTCCTTTTCGTTTAATTAACGGTATTTCAACGTTAGACATCTGTTGGGTGAGTACCTTCAGTTTCAGACATGGGAAAAAAAAGACTTTTATATAAATATATAATATATTGAAGAATACAAATTATGACTTTTTTTATAAGTGAACTGCGAGTCGTGTCAAGAGAGAACGCAAAAATCACGAGCTCCAATTACGACCAAAGTGAAGCAGAAGCGACGATTAACGAAGGTGTGCGTGTCCTAGGAAGGGTTTTGACACCGACATGTGCGCATGCAAATAGCGATGTATGGCGACGGCAGTCAAAAGTCATCACGCAAAGACTATATAATGGCAGCCGCGCAGACTAGGCATCATTCACCTGCAGAACTGACCGCGAGCAACAGCTTACCTCCTCAACTTTAAAACATGTACAAGGTATATGAATATTCAGAATATTACCATAGCTGCGTCAAAAAAGTAAACGTGTTCATCATAGTAAAATTTCACTTCAGGGCATGTTATTTTATGACTTTTTTATTCCTGAAATCATCGCAAGTCCAACTGCATAACTAACTAAGAGAAATTTCTGCCCAATTAGGGAATATCCCTAAAGTACTATATACCCCATGAACGAAGCAATTACCAACTAAACCCGAAATGATAGATACCTGATATGAGAGATAAATTTTTGGGGACACATATTGACACAGACTAAATTTAAATTAGATTAATGAGGAACCTAAAAGCGCATTAATTAACAACACTCGCGTCAACTTTCAGTTCGCGTTGTTCGTTTGCCTGGTGGCGGCGGTGTCATGCTCGCCCATCGACCCATACGGACCTGTTCACAAGCACGTAAGTCAATACATTTTATCAACATTATAATATCAGGATTTTATATTAATCATGCAAGTATCACGACACAATATATGTTTCTATAACCCATTACATTAGTCGTGACAACGACTAAGACTTGCAGCATTAACTAATATTAATGTGTATGGTGTTTACTGTAATCCATTTGACCCGTGAGCATTTGACAACACCAATCTTGTTATCCGCTATTGATAACAGAATCAAAATTAGAAGAAAAAATAGAAGTTTCCGATCAGAAACTTGAGTTAATATGCATTCGTTAGTTTAGTTTATTTACTTCTGAATTGCGAATTTATTTAGACTCCGTGTGATTTATAATGGGAATGTTATATGCCTTTGTGTAAGGTGATACATATTCAGACACGTTACATTCTTAATCAGTCAAATGACAACCGGGAATAAAACAAGTCAAATAACTACAAGCAAATTTTGTTTTTATGAAAATGGCATCGAAAGGAAAACCAAGTACTGTTATCGGTGAACCATATAATTTTAGTTTTGGGAACCTAACAAGTTTCTCGACCGAACATCATAGGGAGATTTTCATCTATGTTATTAATATCGATCGATCGTTCTGAGTTGGCGGAATGAGATTTGTCGATAGCGAGCGCTCAAGGGATTTCATTATGTTGCAGGAGCCCAAACCTTACCAGTTCGCATACGGTGTAGCCGATGAGCACTACGGACCTAACTTCGGACAAGAGGAGAAGAGTGACGGCAAGAATGTGTTGGGATCTTACACCGTCCAGCTCCCTGATGGCCGCAAACAAACCGTGAGTAAAAGCATATTGAGTAATATATTCAATATATTGAATATATTGAGTAAAAGTTATGATCGATAGTATGGCCTCAAAATATACGGGAATATCAATAAGTTTTAATTAAAAAAAACAGCTTTGCGTTTTCTCTGATCAAATAATTAGTTTTACTCGACGAAGTACGACTTTCCCTCAACAAAAACAATACAAATGACGTCAAGTTCAGCGTGCAATAAAAAAACCGGTTGCAGTAGAAAACTATTGCCCGGAGTAAATATTTGCGGAATTGCGCAAGAAGTTTTGATGCACGACAAACAAGGGACAGCAAAAGTTGTGCTGCTGATTGCACAAAGCAGCGCACACAAACACTGAGGTGACAGCGGCGACGCATTCCCAAGTTTGCGATACCCGCAGGGGGCGGGATAACTTCGGTGCTCGTCTCATAAGACGGCAAATATTACGCCTCTTGCAAAACATGAATAGCTTGTTAAAAATCAGTGTTTTTAATGCAGTATCAGTGAAAAATATCAAACAATTGATTTTCTTCTATGGTGTTGGTTAAAAAATAAACAAGCAACAAGTTCAGCAAAACACCTAATTTGACTGAAAAGGGACTCGTGTTTTCAAAACGCTGAATCTCAAACTGAAGTTTTTGAAAATTTCCCGCAAAATAAAACATTGTTTCAGATACAAACCCATATTCAAATACAGCACTCTATACCAAGGTTGCCTTGTTACAGTAAGTCATTTCACTTAATAGTGTATTGATGTTAAATGTTTTGTGGTTAACAGGTGAAGTATCAGGCGGACCATCACAACGGTTTCCACGCTGACGTACAGTACTACGGTGAGGCCCAGTACCCTCCCCCCTCCAAGAACCCTCCCTTCGTGGTCAAGCCCCAGCACTACGCACCTCCCCCACCAAGCTACCATTAAACCTTTTGAAAATCAAGAGACTTCCTAACAGCAGATAGCGTAAATCGGGATACTCGGAAATCTTTGATCGATGTTCGATCGAAATATGCAGCAACGGATTATATGAAGTCATAAATATTAGTTCAGTGATGGCAGTACGATCATAGAATAAAAATAGCCAGCCGAATTTTGATTATGGAAGTAATAACATTGATTATGACTGTAATGAAAAATATAATTTGTTGAAATTCGATGACGCTATCACGCTTGTAGGAAGAGAAGACGAGCCGGCTTTGAGGAATACGCATGGATATTTGTATTTGTTTCCTGAGCTTGATTTTGGCCTATTGTTGAATGCCAAAGATCACGATGACTGCAATTTTGTTCACGAATATTTTTCTTTTTAATAAAAATGTTACGTTTCTACCTCACTCTCATTTTTTCCTATACCAAAATTATAACTCGTATCATCATAAATCATAAAAATTTTAGACATACAGTGAAAATCATTCTTCTGAGCGGCAGCTTATCATGAAAGTCGCAAGTACCGAAATGAAGACAAGCTGCTAATTTTGAAAATATATCAGGCCGAATACAATTGTTGTTCTGAATAAGTCATAAATTTGTGACTTATAAATAATAAAGACTTATTTATTTGATAAAATAATTAAGTCTTGATAATAAACAACAATTGTTGTTTATGATTATAACAATATAAACAACAATTGTTGTTTATAATATTTCGGTGAACCATAATATTATTATGGTTTATTATAAACAACAATTGTTGTTTATAACATAAAGTCACGAATTTGAGCCAGCAAGCCTTTCAAACGATAGTGAGAGTAAGTGAAATGTTCTGTGTACATCCCGTGGATATTCTAACGGGTCAAGTGGCATACCAATGGTGCGAAAATGATTATACATAGGTGGTTTACATCAACCGAGAAAATAAGAACGAGAAGACTTGGTAACCGTTAATTGTTTGTAGCACATCCATTAGAAAGCTCGTATTAGATACGATAACACAATTAGATAAGATATGCTAACGCAATCATCTTATGTCAGTCATAGAACTCTCCAAACCATAGAACAGAATCGAAACAAGAGACCAGGAAATGACAACAAACAATGAGTCACGGTCCCTTATTTTACACACAAGTTTCACTAATGAGACATGTTCGCAGCCTAATATGTTCATTTATATGAATATATATTCATGTAAATGAATACGAGTTAATATATTCATTTACATGAATATATAAACGTTTCACTAACATGAAACGTTTATTCATGTGCAAATACTATTAAACAGATGGAGCATTTTTGTCAATCAAATCAGGAAAACAGGTTGGGGCTATCGAGTCCAACAACAATAGGCAGCGAGCTTGAGACAAAGTTCCATTAACCTTGAATCGCTCATTCAGAAAATGAATGGGGCAAATTGTCCAAATTATGACAGATTTTCTGCACATAGTACTGATACGCCTTTCAAGCCGAGCCATAATAGGTAAGAACGACCAACATATGGGCAAAAAGTGCAACGCTATTTGGACAAATCTCACTCTTTCCTCTGAATTTCTATTCTAAAATTGATAGTGTCATTTAAGAACGAAGATTTCAGAAAATAAACAACTATACTTCAGGTACGTTGAGCATCAGATATTTAGGATAAAATATAAATAATTAAGACTGATGTTGCATTACTAAAGCAGGCAAAAGTAGCGCTGACCAGTTCTGGTTGATAGAACAATTAATTAGCAGCAGTCATGCTGATAACAAGATAGAACAACAGAGTCAACGCAAACAAAATGTTGAAGCGCAACATTTCGCATTATGTTTACAGAGTTTACCTGTTCGAGGTTGATTACCAATTATTTGTCTGTCAGCTGAGCTATTTGCGTACACCGAACCTCCAGAAATTTGGTAAGATTTAATTGTCATAATTTTATTAATGGTGATTTTAATTGTCAGTTGTCACCATACAAATTTCTTATTCGAATTCTTATATACTAGGTATGTTTTAGTTATCGACTCACAGAAATCAGTCTATAATCGACAGGATAACCGCGCATTCAATTACTTTTCTCAACGAACTGAAGAATCTCTCTGAAGATTCATTACACAAAGACTACAGAGATCAGTTCATTTTTAGTTAGACCCGCCACAAATTTTGCAACTCGTGTATCTTTCAGCCTGATCAAGATATGTACAATAATTTTCCTCATATAGAAGCAATATTGAAAAGCTGTATTTTTTCCACCAGTTAACATAATATTTAAAGCCACACACGTAAAAACAATCACGAATATCTATCTGCTTTCTATTTTACAAAACGAAAAATGCGTGATGCAAGAATTAATAGCCTATTATTTCATCAAATTAATTTCAGCCTGAGGTCACGAAATATTCATTAGAACGTCAATTACTTTCACTTGGTATCAAGGTGCACAATAAAAAAGTTTGCTATCCACGTCGTAGTAGTCGAAAGTGAGAGAAATAGCGAGAGTCTCCGTTCCTATTCGCGTAAGAATGTTTCAGCTAATTTACGTAGCCCACTGGAGAGCAATACCATATGGTTATCATATGTATGGTATGAGCTTTCATTACTTTCAGCTAGAATAAGCACCGACAAAAAGAACCTAAATATGGATTTTTGACGACCCATATTCAAGTAGAAAAAGCATTCAAGTGCGACCAATATTTGTTCTATAAGCATCTACTGACAAATCACACAAGAGTAGTCGTTAAACTCGTAGAAATGAAATAACTCGCAAATGACCTTGTGGGCGACTTAATCATTATCGTTTAATTAACTAATTTTTTTGTAGTATAACAATATCAGGTTGTTATTGCATGAGGCAATCGAAATGCAAATGTAACGCCAATTGAAATGAACATTTTTCTTACCATGGGGAATGGATTTTCTCAACGAAGGTTCACAAAAATTAAATTTAAGTACGGAGCAGATGCGTAAACTTTGAAATAAGTTATCGTTTTTAACAAGTCATGACTACGCACCAGAAAATATTTAAAACTTAGAAATTAACCTTATTTGCGAGTCAACTAATAAATAAATACTATCTAGGTACTCCTATAACATGTAACACAGTATTTCACCAACGTAATTAATATTGCGATAACACAACAAGAGCAGAGGAAGCGACAGCCACAACTCGATCGTAGCGCAACTCACTTTCGCAAGATTGTAGTCCATCGTTCATAGGATGCTACCGGCTGGCCTAGCAGGCGAGAGCAATCAAATAATTACAGCTGCTCGAGCTGTTCAATGGTGGGTGTTAAGTGCAGCAAAGGTTCCGCCTACATACAAGACTAGGTGCGGCAAGCATCCTATATAAAACTCATAGCACCTAACGCAGTACACATCATAAGCGATCTTGACCGCGTCCCACACACTCAAGCACTCCTCAGCAACCGGGCGATATTTTGAAGGTAACATAACGTGTTCGGAGAAAGATTACTAGTAACGGTAATAGATAACATATTTCATATCAGAATTAACTCAAATTAAATTTATAAATCATAGTAATATAAAGGTGTACGGTACCAAGAAAGATTACAATTTGCAGCGATCAATAACATATTTCATCTCATAATTTACTGAAGTGAAATTCATGGATCATAGTACAGTGAAGGTGTTATAAAGAAAATTCTATGTAGCAGTAAACCATGACAAAGTTCATCGTAGAACTTAATCAAGTTAAATTCAAAAGTCATAGTAATATAAACTTATAAAAAATTGCAAACAGCGAAAAATAATAATAAATTTAATCGCAGAAATTATTAACATTAAATTCAGGTGTCGTAGTATATCCTATAAAGATATTCCAGCAAAGATTGAGTAGCGGAAAACCATGACAAAACTAATCTCAAATCCACTAAAATAAAATTCAGAAGATATAGTACAATAAATGTGTTCTGTATTATAGAGATGGCAGGATTACGATGCTGTGTGGTGGTGGTGATTGCTGTGATGGTGGCAGCAACAGCGGCGACACCCACTGACTTCTACGGACACGGTGGCGACCACCACAAGGGATACAAACCCGTTAGTTATTCCACGGAAAACTTGAAAAACTTTAAAATGATTATTATTATTTTAATATTTATGATTTATCAGTAGCGTCTTTAATTAGTCTGTCAATCGTCCGTCAACTTCATACATGAAAGTAATTTTTTGACTTAATTGACTATACATTTTTGACGTAAGAGACACGACGGCATTGCATAAGGTAATCTTTCACTCGAGTACATCTTTGCCTGTTACAGTTGTGTTATATGCCGAAACATGAAGAAGTTATATGCCGAAACATGAAGAAGTTCCTAGACAGGAGCATTAAAAATTTTCTTAAAATAAATTACGCAGTGATAGGACCCAAATTGAAAGGCATTCCACCGAAACGAAATACATTATCATGCTCACTTCCAATACATCATCTTCTAACATTACTATTAGAAGGAAAATGGGCTGGTGGGCTGAATGCGGGTCAATTGGAATCTAACTTGCCATTGTAATGCCTTATTTTGAGAAGATCCAAGAAAACTAAGATCGTAAAACTCATATAATGTTTACAAATCCATCACTTAAGATAAAAAAAAACTAAGATCGTAAAACTCATATCATGTTTACAAATCCATCACTCTATGTCCGGCAGCCCCCGAAACCGTACTCGTTCTCGTACGGCATCGACGACAAGCACTACGGTCCATCGTTCATGCAGCAGGAGAAGAGCGACGGACACAGCGTCAAGGGCTCCTACACCGTCCAGCTACCGGACGGCAGACTGCAAACGGTACGAAACCAATGCCAAAGCTGACATTTAATGCTGAAAGAATGTTGAATAAGCGTTGTTTCAACGAAATAAGCTTGAACTCAACGTTATTTCAATGACATCTGTCAGGGGGGTTGGTTTCATGGCACAAACTTGGATTGATGGCAGTAATTTGGGTTGAAATTTGGGTTAAATTTGAATATCCGGGAGAAGTAATTTATTTTGGCAAAGTTAGTATAGACCATGAAATTATAACCAAAAATAATTCAAGTTCTTTACAAATCAACTGCAAGAATTCACAAAAATTTCAAAAATTTTTGTCGAAGCTAATTCAATGAGTTTTCTTTATCTAATATACAATGACTAATGCTTTTGAAATAACATTTCAGCTTACAAAATCATAGGTTTCAAATGAACTATTTTGGAGACTATTTTTTCTTGTCGAGTATACTACAGCTAACTTCTTTCTATACATTAGACAATTCTCTGTTATTTCTGGATACAAGTATTGTATTGACCAACTACTCATCTCAATGACATCTGTAATTGCATGATCACAGGTGACGTACACGGCTGACCACGACAACGGATTCTTCGCGGATGTCAAGTATTCCGGGAAAGCGCAATACCCGTCCAAGGGACACCCGCCTTTCATCGTCAAGCCTCATCATCATGGCGATATTGGCTACCACTAAGTGGGACGCACGTCTTATAACAATAATTTCTGTTGCTCATTTTCTATAAATAATAAAGAAAACTTTCATTTACTGTCTTTTCATTTAATGAATCATCGTATTATAGAAAAGATACAGGGTGAAAACACACGGAGAGGCTCGACAGTATACTGCAGAAAATGAGTAGCCATTTAAATTACTGAAAAATGCTCCATAGCAAACTAGCAGCCTCTGTAATAAGCCAAAAAGTTTGAATGGAAAATACAAAATATTAGTAATAAAAAATTAACGTTCAGCTGCGCATACGCAGAAATAAGAAAAAGAAGCTAAAATATACAAATAAAGACGGGCGTTTTTCAGTATCTTCATTTGTGGAATACTGAGCGCGGCGAGAAGGCGAGTGAAAGTTCACATGATCTGTGCCTAGCAATTAAGCGATGTGGTTGTTGTGCCGAAAGAGAATAAATAAAAGTTTCACCAACGCTTTCCAGTTTACTATTTTTTAGAAACTGTATCAAAAAAATAGCCAAATACGTAGAAGTATACAATTTTTGGAACATGACTGTCCAGAAAAAATGGAAAACTTGCATGGTCATCGATGGAAAAAAGACTACCATTGGAATTTTTAGGTCAACCAGAAATGCTAAGCCGGATTCTAAATCAACAGAAATGAAGTCATCACCAGACCGGACTAGGCTTTTATGGTCGTCGCACCAGCTGTTACTAATTGAAACTTACAGGAGAGGATGGGGAGGGGGGAATTATTTTTCAATGCAGATTATCAGCAGAATTTCAGTTTCAGAAGAGATTTAGAACATACAAGAAGCCCTTGATTTGAAATTGATCGGTAAAATAATCGGTGTGATTATGGGCGCTTAAGCTAAGCTCTTTACAAAAAAAAATATTTTAAAAATCTCAAACCAGCACAGAAAAAAAACACAGCATCATAATCGATCTTCCGTCACATTGAAATATTGGAATTTTCTTTCTTTTGGGCGAAGAAAACGGTTAGACAATGAAGCTGACACGGTTTCTGGAGATTAGTGGGACGAAACTTGGCACATAATGGGGTTCGAAAGCAGAAAATGCCCTAACACCAGCAGTAAAACGAAAACTATTAATTATAGCATAGCGCCCTGGAAAAATCATGGTGGTAAGATTTTCTCTAGCAACCTGAAAACAATTTTCAAGCATAATAGAAGCAACTGGGGGCACGAGCGAAACTAGCTCACCTAGTGCTTGCAGCAGCAGGCATAATCCGATAAAAGGAGGCACGAAAAGGACCAATTGAAAGAGAGAGCCAGGCAGAAAGTTGGCTCATTAGAAAGCGCGTCAGTTGGTGCTTCACTTAAAGCTACCGGCAATATTCCCAGTTCACGCCTAACCCATACGCGCAACGCTTTCCAAAATATGCACTTGCCTATGCAGCAAAAAAAAATCTATGGATTTACCTGGCTTCTAATACAGAAATTAAAACTATAATAAAATTTTGCACACTCTGGCTGCTACTAGTTTCGCAATAAATATAATCCCAAAATTTTGTAAATATTTCACACATTCCAAGTCTCTCGTTGAAATATGACCACATATATATAGGTAATAAAAAATTTGAAAGTAAAATATATTTCAACGAGTCAAAAGTTTCTAGAAAGCTAACGAACAACATTCCGAAAGCCAGAATAAACAATAATTATCTGATCAATTATTAAACGCATACACCATCGTAGTAAATTATACCTGGAAGGTGCCTGAGTGCACCACGCACGCGTAACACCGTACGGTCGTAAACATGACATTTGTGTTACATGGCACTGCAATTCCTTGCAACGAACTGCCGCCGTATCCCACGTATAATAATAATTCACTGGAGAAAACTTCAGCAGACAGGCAGCACGCAGCAAGCGAGTGAGTCTGCAGTTCAGGAAGAACAACTGTATGCAGCAGCGGCAACACAACTGCAGGTAAAATTTTATTTCTCATTATATACTCAATTATTTCGATTTTTACTTCCGCTAATTTGGAGACGTATTAATAAATCTAATATTTAAAGAAAGAACAACAATAAATATAAGGAAAGCTCATGTAGGGGGCTTTGAAGTAGCTATTAATACATGCAGACAGACTCGGTAACGAAGAAAAGTGCAATAAGAATAAAAGATGTATATTTGAAAAGCATAATCATTCAAACGAATGATAATAGTAAAAAATAACGATAATTTAAGGATAAATCAGTTAAGAGAGAGAGCATATTCATCTCGGTGAAAGTAAATATCATTCTAATGAACAAAAGAAGAATGAAAATAAAACGCTTATTAAACTATTACTTATGAATAACTTGAATTCATTTATAGGGTGCATTCGATTTCCGTACGTGTACAGAACGCATAACTATTACAGAACGCATCACTTATTGCTTAAAAACAAAATCAAGTCGGTTTAAATTATTGAAAACCTGAATTTCATTAAGAACCGTAACAAAATACGGTCATCAAGGTAATAAAATACATAACCCTGTTGATTTCACATGCATTAAATACGAACTAAAACGAACCGATGTTTTCTATTAGGATAAATTTAGCAAAACCATATTTAATAACATGGTTTTGCAAATACTTGTCAAACTCTGAGAACTGCGATCATTAGTAATGAGCCGGAGTAGTCCAAAAGCTTCAGAGTTGAGATTGAAAGTGTATTCCACTCAAGGCAATGCAGATTGCTATTCTAAAAGTTTCCGATTGCAAATAAGTTACCCAAATAAACTTTATAACATTTATTAGAGTCAAGGCCATCGACAATTGCAACAGTGAACCAATTTCACGCTAAGTAGCCACGATATCATGCCGATGAGACGCAATGTAGATAAAGAGATGGAGTTCGTGATGACGAGTAACGGTTGCGCCGACCCTCGCAATACCGGCCTGATGAATAGATAAGATGAAAGCGAAACCGCGTCCCAGACGCTGCAGGTTTAAGGCTAAGAGGAGAGCATATAAAGCAGAGGCGTTGCTCAAGGCACAGTCAGTTACAGCCACATCTCACCTCATCTCGCATCTCATATCTGAAGCCGCGATAACATAACACGCACGACAAAAGCAACTGGTAGGTACAAAAAATAATCCTACAATATTGATGAGTACGAACTATGGGTAATTCGATTCATCAAAAATACCTCAAATAATCAATTTTAAACATTGAATTCATACTTCTACTACATTAAATTTACAAATTCTGTCAATTTGATCATTCAATTTAATATCAATTATAGACTTAACACATTAAATTCTCATCTCATGTATGTGCCCATAATTTGCGATCGAACTGCATTACGTAATTTTAAAGATAATGGAGCAAATATTTCATACTTAAAAATTTAATATTCTTCTTGGTGTAAATCTTGAGTCCATCTGTTTTTGTATTAGTACTTAGTAAATTAAAAAAATGAAGTATCAGTAACAATATTATTCAGTGACAATACATATATTATATATTTGTTATTGTAGATACAGTATGAGTAAAATTCAATACTGAAATATTAACATATATTGTATTTCTTACTCTAGATACAGTATATATGAGTAAAACTCAACATAGAAATATTAACATTTATTGCAGGCGGTACAAGATGAAGACCATCGTCTTAGCAGCGTTTGTAGGGGTTGTGGCGGTATCAGCGATGCCTGAGAGCAGCTACCATCAGCCCAAGCATGTCTACAAACACGTAAGTTGCCAACCAATATATTATGGTTGAGAATTGCATGTCGGTTGTAGGCTTTTGGCTACCAATGAAGAATATTTTAAATATCACTCTGTTGAAAGAACTTTCAAGGACAGATTGGCGTGTTTTTGTGAACTTTGACTATCTTTCGTATCAATTAAAATAATCATTCTTAATAAAGGTTATAGAATTGGCATCGACAACAGAAAATTCCAAACTCTGTCTGACATATTTTTTACAGTTGTAAGCACTCGTAACAAAACAACATTGAACAGTCGTAAATATTGGCTAGAATTTCAGCAAAAAAAAATAAATTTCCCATGGCCAGTACTGCAATGAAAATATGCAGCTGAGCCTAAAAAAGATAATTAAAGGTTCATAGCGAAACTCACAAAACGAGGCGCAAAACCCTGCTACAATGTTACACGCGCTCCTATAAAGAACGCATCTTGCGTTTCAGACATGAAACAAACTTTTTCAGTGTGTTTCATGATTGCACTTCATTCTTGATTACATGGATATATAACATCCATGGATCCATATAACATCCATTCCATAAGGATCCAGATTGGATCCATAATTTTTCAATCCAATCTTTATCACCTAAAAATCAGTCAGCTTCTCACCAATTGCGATCATTTTAATTATAATTTACAAGATGAACCGACATATGGAAATATTTCAGAAGTGAATAGCAGTTGTAAATTAGTTGATACTTTGCCATGGAAATGTTTCAATTTTTCGCTCTTTACCCACCCACACAGCCAGCTAAGCCGTACAACTTCGCGTACGGAGTGAACGACCCTTACCAGGGCATCGACTTCGGCCAGCACGAGGAAAGCGACGGAAAGCAAGTTCAAGGCTCGTACACCGTGCAGCTGCCTGACGGACGCAAGCAGATCGTAAGTGTATGATGTACGATGAATTGGGTCAGTTACTTGGTTTTCAGGAACTCTCGAGCCGTACTAGCACACGTTGCATCATAAATACAAGTAGGGGCTGATTTTTGCTCTGTGACTAGAAAAGACGTCAGTAATTATCTGAAAATATTGTCTTTGATATTATGGACCTGCTGTGTTAGCGTCAAGATTTACGAATGTTAATCGCTACGTAAAATGTGAAAAAAAGTAGAAAACGCAGAACTCGGATATAGTTGAAGAGAACCTCAATAAATTGATAGATGTTGAAAATTGAACACAAAAGAATTAGAATAGAAAAGCCGTCAAGTTCTTTTTATTCATCATGTGTTCTTTACTCGAAGCAGTAACAAAATAATAAAATACAGTGTTTCACACCACCAAAATGTTTCAGGTGAAGTACATTGCTGACCACGACCGCGGGTTCCACGCGGACGTGCATTATGAAGGCAAAGCTCAGTATCCTCCCAAATCAGAATACCCTCCCTTCATCGTGCCCCCTCACAAGGGGTACTCAGAGCCCCACCATGAACCAGTCTACAAGCCTCCCGTGCACCAACCAGTCTACGCACCACCCCACCAGCCCTCCTACCACTGACGCCCCAAATATCAATACTCCAGTAAACTCGCTTAACGATAACGGAAATTTATTTATGAATAAAATTTGTTATTAGTCATATACTTTTTTTATTTCTAAGGCATCCGCAGTTACTTGATTATACACGGAAAAGTTTTAAAAGTTAACAGTATCAAGTACCTGTAATGAAAATAACAAGTGATCGCAGACAAACATAGCGAACAACAAAAAAAAATCGCAAGCAGAATTCAGTGCCATTCGATTAAAAACACTTCGGTCGCATGATAATGACGCTATAGCATAACATTCGTATAACTGATAGGATGCCAACGCCTTGAGAGATCACAAAGTTAATATTTTCGGGAGACACGAAAAGAATGATACCTGGAATATGCCTAATATTGAAATTAGTATCAGCATCATATGCTATTTTGGCAAGAGTTTCCCAGCCTAAATTCCCTGTCAAACTATTCAATCACTCCGATGTCTTCAACTGCCATGGGTTTGATTTTAAAACCCCGAAAAACCCTTATTCTATGGTTTAAAAACCATGGGTTCAGTATCGAAATTTTCGGTGTTTAACCAGTAATTTGATTCGTATTTAATATTCAAAATCAAATTGATTGCACATATTTTTGAAGAAAATGCAGGAAAGAAGTGGTTATGGAGAACGTCATGTCTTGATGCAGTGAAACTAACGGAACTCACAATAAGCTACTGTGAAGTATCTTGAGGTTTAATACCCACAATTTTCTAATTTCGGTGAAACTTGCATCACGGCAAGAGAAAGTAATAAGTATACTTCCACAAAGGTTCTTTAATTGGCACTCGACTCGAGGCAATTTATATTGGCTTAACTTGCAATGACCTATTCAATGGGCTCAACTTTCTCCCCTTCACTGTGTCATCAAATCGCACTAGATTTAATTGGGTGAGTTCTACCTTGATGCTTCAGGCATTGAGGCAGACTTAAGTTTCTAGCGACAATAGGAAATTACTGCCTGTTGTCTGTTTTATTCAGTAAATTTCATCAAAATTTCAACTCTGCACAATATTAGGTGAGTTCATAATTAAATTATAGTTAAAAAACTACAGAATTTCATGAGAGTTTGGAAATGAGCTAGTATACCGAGACCTTCAAGTCGCTTGATTCAAATGTGAAAATAAGCTCTAATGTCCCTGCCTCAGCGAAGCTTAGTTAGATTTTATTTTAATTGCTGAACGGCTGAATAAACAAGATTTCAAACCAACCATTTCACTTGTAGCCTCATTCTACTGTAAACTGCAGTCACATCTGCATGGAACGAAGCATTAGTCATCAATGTCTTGATGCAGTGTTATACAAAATTATTTGCAATTCCAAATTTGCCAGTCGGAACTGAAGCACCGATCGGTCAGAAGGCTGCCGAGTATGTGCGCGGCAAGGGGGGATGGCATCTGGCAGGATAATGCTTCAACACAACAGCAACTGATATTGGTACTCCCACAAGGCCGCAAGGAACATTCAATGTTGTCACGTGTTCCTTTTATTTGGATGCCGACCTCATATACTCGAGATCCGCGCAGCTGCTGAATTTTTCGCTTTTCCACATCAAAGTGACAAGGAAGTCAGCATTGGGCACGGGATTTGATGTGGGCCTTAGCTGCATGGGTTTTTGTGCACGTACGGCTTATATACCACGTAGCACGATCGATAGATGCCAAAGTCATTCACTGCCAAGAAATATTTCGGCATGAGCTGGTGTTCAGCGAGCACTATATTAGCTTTCCGAGGCGGATATGTTTCTTTCGCTACGATCTTCACGTGACCTTCTGAAAAGCAGAGCTATTATATACTGACGGCAGTTCCTACAAAAGACCTGCCATTAGCTGGGTATTTTTGTTAGCTGATTAAGGTTTACTTCTGCTACAGAAAAAAAGCCACCATTGCTGAAAAGAAACTCGAAAATCATTTATAGAAATTCAGTGAAAATCTTGCTGCATTTCCTGCGGAATATAGGGAAGAAAGCGTTTATAGTGTTATGCGAAAAGAGCTATTTCCAGAAGACAGAAGTACATCAGATTTACCAGTTTCTGATCTTCTGTAGCTTATTTTGTCACACGGCGAACACTCTTCAAAGTGTTTGAGTCTCTTCGTCTCAATCAGCTAACACGTTTACCTCAATAATGTTGCAAAAATGTTGTCAAGCAAATAGGAAGGGTTTCAAAAAATTATTCAACACTGAATTTCAGTACAAATTTATACTAAAACACTTTATTATGTAGGAATATATGATGTATTCTACAACACTTTATTTGCCATCCCATCGAACATTTTATTTATAAAATGTATCAAAATTAAACAATAAATGATCGTTTGAAATGTTTAGGCATTTTTCATGATTATTTTACACTAAGTTTTGACGCACAATGAGTCGACGTAATACGACATCTAAGTCTAGACAAGAATATGAAAGCGCGTTATGATTAATTCATGGCGAAAAATTTCCTTTGCCGTAATTCCACAGGTCTCGTCCTATCATTGAACAAAGTAATGCGTCCAACCGAAATGAGTTTTAATGTTGATGTATCATAACTCGATGTGGAGATCAGATCTCAACTCGTCTAGAGAGATTTAACATCCAATAGAACTGCACAGCTTAGCGTTATTTAAAAAAAAACGTATTGGGGCCTAGATCCCTTGAGATAAAGGGAGTAAACCCAATAAATTTCCAAAATAATTTCTAATGAAGTTCTCGTTCTTTGGCCAGTTTTGGTATTGTAGTTTGCGGACCGAAAATAGTCAGACATTGAGCGTGTGTTCACAGAAATGTACCTTTGAAATTTAGCAATTTAGCACATGAAAATTATTTACAATCCAAAAGATGAACCAATTTGTGTACATAATTTCAAGGTCGTTGGAAAATTATTGAAATATTCAGAATAACTGAGCGGCGAAAGTTATTTGAATTAAAGTTAAGTTTAAAAAGTATGCACTGAACTTTCCAACATTTATTCACAACCTACGAATATTCGAGTGTAAAATAAGAAGGCATGTGACATCAACGGAACATAACGGATGGGATTTTACAACTTTTCCTTTCAAAATCGCATGTGACATTTAGGGCTTAAAATAACAATGGGCCTGAATTGCCTATTAGAAAGGTAACAGCTTTTTAAACATTTATTTAAATTTAAAACCTGGCAAATAAAATGCCACGAAAATCGAGCTTTTAATATTGAGTATGATGAGACTTTAAATAACATGCAAGTGCACAAGAAAACTCCTGCAACTGCGGTGGCTGTAAAAATCAATGATGCAAGGAGATATCGTGCGATCATGACGTGCAAAAAGGCGACTATGGAGCGGTCACGAAATATGGGAAATGCTCCTTATAAAAGACGCCGCTTGGAAGCAAAGTCAAGCACTTCCCTGCAAGCAATCGCCAAGGAACGACCACCAGCTTCAAGCAAAATGGTGAGACCATCGACAAAACTCGACCAAATAAAATTTTAAAAACGAATTTAATCTTCACGCAGCGCTCTAATTTAAGCATATTTCTAGCAGAACGAACCAAGATTCTGGAAAAACTTTGAGTTATTGACTAATTTAGAACCATTATCCGCCTTCGCATCGATATAACCTGTTATATAAGGTTCGCCTTTGCATTGATATATGGTATTTCCGATACATGGTAATTCCATTAGTGCAGTTAAAACATAAAATAACAATTTCTTCATAAACATCGCACGTGATCATAAGTTCCAAGACATTTAAAAGATGCATTGTGAAGTAGTTTTGAAATAATATTACCTGTGAATAGAATGCTAGCGCAGCATCTACATGTACCCTTAATTACGATCACTGATTAAAATGCACTACAGGACCAGAAAATCCTTTTCTTCCCTAAAAATATGTATGATTGTCTCTCATATATTGCGTGAAAAACCGCCAGACTTAATGCTCAGCCACTTGATAATACGATCGCATTTGAAGTGGAAGATTTTATAGGCTATTTCTCGACAGTTAAAGAGGGCAACTTGAACTATTTTCCTTTAAGATTTAATGCCGCCATGGACCCGAAATGACGCACTGCAAGGGCAGCAATAAAAAGTTACGATCGGTTGTAACGAGGAAATGACTCCAAAGTCAGTGTCACCGAAGCGAATTTCATGAACGAGTACTCCAAACAGACGAGAGGACGTAAGCTCGGGCCCAATATTGAGGTGCTTCTGAAACACAATAAAACAAAAGTTGTGGCGGAATGGAAACCCTTCTGTTCAACTAGCATTAAATTTGGTTAAAAAATACTAAAGATTTGAAAAACGAGCCAATTATTAAAAACTTACAAAATATCGTGGGATCGAGTTAGGAGCAAGTTTCAGATAGTTTATTACGCAAAGATACTCCGAAACTTTTGAGAATTCTTTCTTTTACTGAATGAGAACTTTTTACAATACATGAACGTAAAAAGAGTATTCATTATCGAGTCGACTAGTTCTTTCTTCCTAATGCACAATAATTCAGGGATAGATGGCTTTTTTTGTAGAACATTTTTCAAATAACCTAATTTGTCACACAGAAATTCAGCGTGATGGCACTTTTGATTGTGGCGGCGGCGGCAACAGCGATGCCAGACAGCGGATATCACAAGCCTCAGCCCACGTACAAAGCCGTGAGTTTAATTAAAATATGTTAATATTTCTTCATCCTAAAATGAACACAAAAGTCCCTTACCTTAAGCTGGATTATATCATATTAATTAAGTTGTTGGATCAATAACATTAAAAAAAAATATCGTCGTCCAGAGATGGGACACATTCCCCATGCAGGAATCTCCGAAAAAAGAGAATTTAAGACAAGTGCAACAGAATGGCATAAAAGGAACAGAATGCAAATACCATCAAAAGCTCCAAATTACTACTTGCAAAAAAGTATTAAGTAATTACTCCTTTCTTGCAAAGAAGTAATTCATAATAAAAATAATTATGACGCTAACCAACAGCGCCCACATTATTATTTCAAAGAAAACGAATGATTTTCCATGTACAGCAACCAATGCCGTATGACTTCGCGTACGGAGTGAACGACCCGTACCAGGGCATCGACTTTGGCCGCAGCGAGAAGAGCGACGGACATCAGGTACAAGGCTCCTACTCCGTGCAGCTGCCCGACGGACGTAAACAAACTGTGAGCAGCTAACGTTTTAACTCTGAAATAATAGTGAAAAGAACTCTGAAATTGATAAAATATTGACAGGAATGTGAGGAATATTCGTCCATACCACCGAATACGATATCTACAACACATTAGATGGAATATTGTAACAATTCGTTACTGAAATGCGTAGTATGACTTGCGTGACTCTATAACAATTTCATTATTCATAAATTACGGAGGAGATTTTTATAAGATCATACAAACGATTACCTTGATTTCTTGCGCAGGTGAACTACCGAGCGGACCATGGCTCGGGCTTTCACGCTGACGTGATTTACGAAGGCAAGGCTCAGTATCCTCCAAAGTCTGATCATCCGCCCTTCGTGGTCCAGCCCAGCAAAGGTGGAGGCTACCCAGCTCCCCAGCCGTCCTATCACTGATCACTGAACGCATCGCTATACCCTGACCAAATACCGTATCACAATCATAGGCGGGCGAGAATGTGAACTTGTTAAATCTGTTGCATTTATAATAAAAAATAAAGCAAAACTCAAACCAAGCATCTATTATCCTTAACAACCAGAAGTACATATAGTATAAAACATTAAGTGGAAATGGAGGTTTATAAGCTCTTTGTGCAATGAAAGTAAAGAAACAGTCATCGCCAACAAGGAGGAACGTGTCGATTATCAAGCTTTTCGTAGTTCAGATTGATAATAATACAACTAATTATTATATTATCATTAAATCATGAATATAGCTATGTTTCAATCGTGATCAATCTGTCGAAAGGAATTATTTTCTAGTAATTTATGTGATACTACGATACATGCCTCCAAGAAATCGCACGTGCGACTCATTTGTCTTGGTGCAGCTCTCGGATGGAACCCCGAATCACACCCACCATATCTCACAAAAGAAGTTCGATTGTATTAATAATATAGCGGTTTCAGCGTTTATTAGACCGTAGGCCTGTCGTCGATTCTTAACATCGCAGAACATTCGCAGCATTTTGCGGTCTCGAACTCGCAACTCACTGCTACAATTCTGCTGTGCTTAACCGCCCGGCCTCCTTGCCGATTCTGACCAGAAACTGGCGCACAGAGCTGGGATCGAATCCGTGCCTCTCTGCGCCAATTCTGGTACTCTGGGCCACCCTGCCCAGAGCAGTACTTCAGAACGTTCGGTGCGCGCTTCACTATAGTGGAGAACGGTGATTTGGGAAATTGGACGTTGAGGAAAGTGAAACTGTAAATTCTCAATATCTTTGTAGAGAGGATGTAGGCCAGGAAACCATGTTGGATCAATAACATTAAAAAAAAATATCGTCGTCCAGAGATGGGACACATTCCCCATGCAGGAATCTCCGAAAAAAGAGAATTTAAGACAAGTGCAACAGAATGGCATAAAAGGAACAGAATGCAAATACCATCAAAAGCTCCAAATTACTACTTGCAAAAAAGTATTAAGTAATTACTCCTTTCTTGCAAAGAAGTAATTCATAATAAAAATAATTATGACGCTAACCAACAGCGCCCACATTATTATTTCAAAGAAAACGAATGATTTTCCATGTACAGCAACCAATGCCGTATGACTTCGCGTACGGAGTGAACGACCCGTACCAGGGCATCGACTTTGGCCGCAGCGAGAAGAGCGACGGACATCAGGTACAAGGCTCCTACTCCGTGCAGCTGCCCGACGGACGTAAACAAACTGTGAGCAGCTAACGTTTTAACTCTGAAATAATAGTGAAAAGAACTCTGAAATTGATAAAATATTGACAGGAATGTGAGGAATATTCGTCCATACCACCGAATACGATATCTACAACACATTAGATGGAATATTGTAACAATTCGTTACTGAAATGCGTAGTATGACTTGCGTGACTCTATAACAATTTCATTATTCATAAATTACGGAGGAGATTTTTATAAGATCATACAAACGATTACCTTGATTTCTTGCGCAGGTGAACTACCGAGCGGACCATGGCTCGGGCTTTCACGCTGACGTGATTTACGAAGGCAAGGCTCAGTATCCTCCAAAGTCTGATCATCCGCCCTTCGTGGTCCAGCCCAGCAAAGGTGGAGGCTACCCAGCTCCCCAGCCGTCCTATCACTGATCACTGAACGCATCGCTATACCCTGACCAAATACCGTATCACAATCATAGGCGGGCGAGAATGTGAACTTGTTAAATCTGTTGCATTTATAATAAAAAATAAAGCAAAACTCAAACCAAGCATCTATTATCCTTAACAACCAGAAGTACATATAGTATAAAATATTAAGTGGAAACGGAGGTTTATAAGCTCTTTGTGCAATGAAAGTAAAGAAACAGTCATCGCCAACAAGGAGGAACGTGTCGATTATCAAGCTTTTCGTAGTTCAGATTGATAATAATACAACTAATTATTATATTATCATTAAATCATGAATATAGCTATGTTTCAATCGTGATCAATCTGTCGAAAAAAAACGGTTGACATCTCAGAGAAGAAGAATGAGAGGGGGAAGGGCAAACAGCGACAGTAACAAGTCGAAAAAGAACATAGAACATTAAAGCTAAACAACAATAAATTTCTAAATCAAAGTCACTCTCGAACCGTCCCAAGAAAACAATTAGAAGTTCTAAGGTACCGTCTCTAAAACGGTTGATTGTGAGCCGTTTTAACTCAAGTTTTAATGAGTCTCGCAGAGAAACTTTATTAGTAGCAAAAATATCCCTTCACACAACCAGTTTGAAATAAAGAGAGGCGTAAGGAGGCATTGCAATATTTATTTAACAGGCAACGCATTTTTGTAGCCCATTGTTACTCACACATAAGCAGACATTTGCATAAATAAAAATAAGATCCTCAAAATAATGTGTTTGGAGCACAGCTTGTGACCAAGAGTAATGTTTTTGAACATTTCGATCGATATCATGAAATAACATCCTAAAAGTTATCACATAACAACCAATGTCATTCAATAAACACGACTCTCAATTTAAATAAAGAGAAACATGATTATATACTTTTAAGCAATGTTTTTTTTACATAAAAACTATTTAATAGTGCAGTAAAGTATCCCTTGACAGAAACAACGCGCATAAAAAGAAAAATCGGGTTGAATACATTTATTACAATCTATCTTGACAAAAAAGTTCCTTTGATATTAAAATCCTATTGTACTTGCTATCTATAATTTCAAGCTTTCAATCAGAACACATGCTTGAATTATTTCAGTGAAATGGATAAGCCCCACAGGACCAGACTTATCCCAGCCGATTAAAATATTTTACAGTGACGGGTATTTTAGAGTGAAGCTGGAGGAAGCATTTTTCAGCATTAGTTCTTACAATATATACAGTAACCTAAGATGCGCCTTTATAACGGACACAAAAGAACCAGTCAGGGTATAAGATGTCCCGCAAATTTCGAGATCTTGGTCAGAAAATTGTCATGTTAGGACGAAATTATGATTTCTTAAGCTGCTTATTGGCAGAGGCTTGGCGTTTAATATTTTCTTTGTGAGGATTTTGTAAACAGATTTATATCGGAGAGAAGAAATTCGGAGTTATTTTAGTGATGTGTTTAAAAATTTCGAGGGTTGATGAGCACTCGGGAAGACTAGGGCAAGTGTCGGATACCATTTAAAAAACTTGCCACCACTAATGGTCAGGAGCGATTCGGAGTTATTTTCATGAGGTATTGAAATTTTTTGAGGGTAGATGAGGACTCATAAGTATATTCAAGGCAAAGGTCGAATGTGATGAATAGAACTTACCACCATCAGTGACGATGTGTTTTATTAAGAAAGGGAATTATTTTCTAGTAATTTATGTGATACTACGATACATGCCTCCAAGAAATCGCACGTGCGACTCATTTGTCTTGGTGCAGCTCTCGGATAATAGGACTTCTGACGAGCACAGACACGCGTCAGAAGTCCCCCCTGAGGGGCTAACAACCCTAGTTTTGACCAGTATTATACGGTTATTATCGAGGAGCGGCGAGTTGCGTGGCGACGCATGTGTCATTGAAGGTAGCATACCAGAACGCCTTCGCCCAGACTGAAGTCATCCCGTTGATCGGGACTTCATCGTTGCTACCTTCAATCAAAGAGTTTGTTTCGACGATGCCATGTAAATGCAACTACATTATTGCTAGCAGGACACAGCAATCTTTACTAAAAACAGGCCAAAATAGATAACCGCACAACATAAAAATATAATACTTTATCATATTTCTTGATTAGTTTAAATAGTTCCATATAGCATTAAATACAAATGACTTTCAACGGACTTATAACAGTATCAATTCAAGATACTAACAACAAAACTATAAATGCTCCAACTGGTGTTATACTTGAAAATTTTCAAATGATTCGTAGTCAATAATGGCTTGAATTAGGAAATTGTTAGATAACTACATTCTCTGATCTTTAATGGACCCCTAACCTTACTAACATTTCAATCCGTCAATATTTCCGGATAACATCGCTCAACAGCCTAAATATTAAATAACTTGTTCAAATTTATTCTTGGCTTTCCTAAACAAATATCATGTAGGAGACAAAATAGTGATGATTATGACTTGAAATCTCTATATAAGCTAATGGATACATAAATATTTGCCGTTAGTATTTATGCGTTTTTATCCGTAATTTTTTACGAGATATTATATTTAATATAATTTCTTACGAACATTTTCTCCGGTATTTAAAGGCCAGTATTCAATGTATCATATGCGGAAAAAATATCCTGGCAACCAAAAAAGGCGAAAGTCTCGATACATCTCACTGTTGTTCCATTCTCGTTAGCGGTTCGGGAATAATAGGGAACTTGCCTAACACACTTTGCGTGTGTCCTAACTATCAATGAAGAGGGGAAAAGTGTAGCGTGACAGATGGTGGTGCTCGAAGAAGCCTGGAACTATAAAAGAAGAAGAACCAAATGAAGCAGCATCATAACTTGTCAGCTTTAACACCAAGTAACATCGCAAGGGAAGCCTCTTCAAAAATATCAAGGTGACGCTCGACGCTTATATGTTATCAAGTAATTTGAGGCCAGGAGCAGTAATGATTGTATAGAATTTTGGAAAGAAATGTCTGGAAATTAAATTTGGAGGCAATAATTCTAGCATCGATTCCAGAATATTAAATGATAAATATAAACGAGTGTGTACTATAAGTTAGCGGAACTTAGGCACGCAAATTAACATTAATTAACATTACGCTAACGCCTCAAGGCGATTGAAGCCAAAATAAATTTGAATAAAATATTCCTATAATTGTGGTTTAGTAGAAGGAAATGAGGTAAAAATAAGACAATTGTCAACAAACGATGAGTAGAAACAATTTTGTGCAGATGGTTATGAGGTTCACTGCGCTCGCAGTTTTGGGTTTGTCGGCCATGGTAACATCGCTTCCATCGGATCCCTACCAGCCTCCAAAACACTACAAAGAAGTAAGAATATATTCACAATTTCGGCCGTATAGTAACTTTTACTTAGCAGTATGACGATGAGCATCAGAACAAATCATCATGTTGCGGGGCTGAAACTGCCTCTTCACATTTTCTCCTTAAAAAATTATCTTGAGCCATAAATTTCGATTTGAAAGTGAACCAAGTTCTGAGAAAAAACCGCAACATGATAACATTTACTTTCAAGTAATTACCTTACTTTGTACTTCTACTTTGTACTTTGTACTTGTAATTTACTTGTTAGTGCACAAGTAACTTGATAACAATTATAAACAAGGATATTAACTATTTGCAACCCACAGCCAGCAAAGCCGTACAACTTCGCGTACGGCGTGAGCGACCCATACCAGGGCATCGACTTCGGGCAGAACGAAGAGAGCGACGGCAGCCTGGTGCAAGGCTCGTACTCCGTGCAGCTGCCTGACGGACGGCAGCAGATCGTGAGTTGGCAACGATAATATTATTATTACTGTGAGCAAATCTATGATAGAAGTCATCAAATCATACGCTGGGAACGATAATATTATTGCACTGTCAGCGATTGTATGATAGACGTCAGCAAATCGTGAGTTGGCAACGATAAAATTATGGCAATGTGAGCAATTGTATGATAGACGTCAGCAAATCGTGAGTTGGGAACGATAATATTATGGCAATGTGAGCAATTATCAGAAGGACGTCAGCAAATGGAGAGCTGGGAACTATAAAACAAGAAAGGTAAAGACCAATAACTTCGTACTTGCACTCCAATAAGCATTCGTAGACATTTCCTTATGAACCCCTTTTTAATTCGGTTATAATTATGCCAGAAAATCTTTCCTTAAGAAAATTTAAGGGTTGTTTCGAAACTAAAAAACTATAATTGGTCCATACAAGACAATGCATTAAAATTATTTCTCGGTTATCCATTACTTAATAAAGTGAAGCTATTTACATCACGTGCATTTTCACCGAAAAATGCAAAGACGTACCCATTTCTAATGTATGAAAATAGCAATGAAATTCCATCAATGACACAGGTGACGTACCAGGCTGATCATGACCGCGGGTTCCACGCCGACGTGAGCTACAAGGGCGAGGCGCAGTACCCACCCAAGTCTGAGCATCCTCCCTTCGTGGTCAAACCAAGCAAGGACTACCACCAACCCTCTAAGGACTACCATCAACCCCCCAAGGATTACCATCAACCCCCCTCCTACCATTGAAATGTCATACACTAGATAAGGATCCATTTAGCTATTGAACTGTTGGGTTTATGTTTGGTTCTTTTAATTTGTTGAATACATTTGTACACTAAATATAATTAGAAACTTTAATGATCCCACTTCGAAGATGAAGTAAAGATTGTGACACAAAGCACATCATTATCAACGAGCTGATGTACGAGTAGAAAAGTCTTCATAAAGTTAATTCAAAATTTACGGAACACAAATGACAACCCGGACAGCTGAGATAATGACGAGAACGAAATATTGAGAAAAACTGCACAATCTAGACATAAGGCTATATATAAACCTTCAACCAATATATCCGTCGTCGAGAGTAACGAATATGATGATTTATGCATGTATGATTTACGCACTTCAAACATTAGGAGCACAGTACGGGCAAACTTTGGTGAAAAACAGACAACACAGAACTGGCAAGTGTGACATTGCCCACACGGTTATTAACTTTCTACAGAGCTCGCCGACTTTTGAAACTGCTAACCGAGAGACACAAGAAGTAATCAGTATGACTGTGGCTGACAGTTCGATAATTAAAGGACTTTGAATAACAATTTGGTTTTAAATTTGGGACAAGACATGTCATACCGAAGATGTTTTAGAAGATGGTTTAGTTTGTGCGAGAGTTTCACTTAGAAAACTAGAAGAAATTCGCCGTCTTAGGGAGATGTAGCTGTCCATTCCAATTAGAAATACCATTCCCTGCAGTATGTCAAGATATGTCACTGATTTCTTCAAGAACTGATTTTTCGAATGTGTCATACTCCGACTACTCAGAAAAAGTCAGATTTGGAGCAGGGCATTAGAGAACTGCAGGATAAACTCATGTACACGCAGATTTATTTTTCTTCATTTTATGGATTATTTGTAGACATATATCTAATAGTAAAAATATGAGCATTTGGTTTAAAAATGATAAGAACAGCAAACAGCAAAGAAAATCAGACCAGCAGAGTACAAAATGATGTTGTTGTACACTAATATATTAAGACAAGGGATGGCGTCCATATTTCGTCCGGAACGGTCGTCGTAGTGAAAGGAAGCGACTGCGGTGATCCAAGATCAGTCAAAACGCTCGAGACGACGAGACCATGACGGTGCTGCGCAAATACAAACGACGTAGATCAAAGACATTACGATCCTGATGCATGATTGATGATGAGTGCGTCGGCGTCGTTGATAGCCGCTCACGGAAGGGCCCGGAGAAAGGTGGCATACGAGCGTCCTCATAAGGACCGTATTATAGGCTCATAAAAAGGCAGTTGCAGTAATTCACAGGCTCAAATATTTGCCATTTCTGTTTCAAGATACAAGAATTTAAAACGAATCCATCTTAATGAATAAAGTTGGAAGCATATTCATGAATTTCATTCGGTTCAATTGAAATGATTTTTTTTTGTGTCCTACAAGATTTTGAGGCCACGCCTATATCAAATCTGGAAACCGGTTATATGAATATTTAATCAAATTTTCAATTGAAAAACTAGTGAGCAGAAAAGTAGTGGAAGAAAATGAATGATATCTCAAAAGCTAGCCCACTAATATTTGACAGAAAATAAAATGTACGTTACCTCCCAAACGAAGCTATACATTACGTTAATTCGTTGCTAAAACAACGCGTGTATTTTAGGATATTTAAAGGATATTTACTATGAACTTACCCTAATTTATTATCAAAATAGCACATTTTGGCGGACTGCCTGACAAAACTGCACATAAAAAATGTCGACCAGAACTACTGGGAGAGCAAAGGGACATAAGGGTTACAAATACGGTCGGTCGTAAGAAAAGTTACTGTATTAGGTTAAAATAATAAAGAAAAATAATAAATAACAATTAATTATGTAAGCAACATTTCGTTATACTATCATAGCGTACATCAATAACCGGAAGAGAATTTAAAAACCAATTTTCAGAGCAATATAACATCGATATTAATATTTTTTGTCGGCAGTAATTTTTGAAACAAGATTTATTCTGATTAAGCGAGCCATCACCAATGATATCACTTCATATTCCAAACAATTTCATCGTTGCACGGTCACCAGTCTGAAAATTTAATGGTGGCGTTACACAGAAATGAAGCCAAGAAGTATAGAAAGAATTATCACATGGCGATCAAATATTTATTTTTGAGCATGGCAAAAAAAGTTAGAAATTCCGTTTGATAGCTCAAAATCTAAACTTGGTTGTAAGCATCGTTAGAATCAAGGTTCATAATTGAAAAAGAAATTCATCATATTACAAGGACATTTTGTGGCATGATCTGTCAGCAGTGCAACATCGCTACGACGTACATAGATAGCCGTGTTCAGATTTTAACAGAACAACTATCATGAACCAAATATTTCAGGAATAACTGAGTCCTGGAATTATTTAGTCAGTCCTCTAATCTCACAACAACAGAAAATGGATAGTGAGCTTTCTAGTTGTGGGTGTAAACAACGTGAGGTTTCTGATGAAACAAGAACTGAAATTGAGACAAATTCCACCAATATGCTATGGCCATATAACTTCTAGCTGTTAATGCCTTACAATTCATTGATTAACAATGTTTGTCTGAAATTAAGTATAACCTTTTATTTTATGTCCAAATGATATATTCATGAGAAACCGTATAACTTAAAGTACTCAATAAATAGGTAACTCATTGTAAAGTATTAAAAAATTATTTAAAAGTGACGTTCCCAAAAATACTTGAACAATATTTGTGGCGAATTTTTAAAAATTTCGTACTTTACAAAATCAATCCATCCTCATGTGACACAAAAGATGGCAAAATTGGATTGACGACTAAACTGAAGAAAAACTACTTGAATTAGAATTGTCCTTAGGGAACACATTGTTGCAGTTGGTAAAAATTTGTAAAAACTGTCATAATTCAGCGGTGCAGGAATTCATCAAAAACAGTTGTGACGCAGACAAAGTTACACGACCTGTTCTAATTTAAAAACAACGTGAATAATGCCTAGCTAAATTTGCTGCTTGTGAGTCAATCGTCTTGTCGTTTCATCTAATAATCAAGAGTTAATTAATGAACTGGATGAATTAGGAGAAATGCTCTTATGAGAATTATGATGGGAAATACTTGAACCGTAAATAAAAGTTGTTTTGGCTAACTTAACTTTTTAAAGATTTCAAATAATTCACTTAATTACAGAAAAATACAAGGATCACCTGAAACACAACGTTCAATATAAGTTAGTAGATTAATATAACAGCGCCGAAAGCTATTAAGGAATTAGCGCACATTTATTGACCATCTGGCAGCTTTGACAATGGATGCAACTGGCATTAATGAGTGTCTATCTATTATCGCATCTATTCGAGCTGTGAAGACAATACACTAATGAATGCGCCTTATTCAGTAAACACAAAGTAAAAACCATTTCAAAATAAAATTAATTAAATTTGTGACAATGTCAGCGGGTGGAATAAATATGTTTTGCCACGGCAACTTGGGAGATTTTTTTTACAAGTTATATAATTAGAGTTCATTCGAACTTATCGAGCTTTAACCATACCGTTGTTAAGTAATGATATAAATTTATTCATAGTTCATAGTAACAATTTTTCCGTTTTCATTTAGAGCTTTCCATCCTGTATAGGTTATGCAAACATCCCGGATTCATTCATTCATGTTTTAGTTACGAGCTGGCAAGGATTGCTGCACGGCACAACGCAATTGTACAGACATATTTTACCAAATATATTGTGAATTATCACTGTTTTATCTGAACTGAAACCTTTTCCGGACCGCGTCGAGTTACAGTGATAAATAAGTAGCCCCCTATCACAGTTAGCCTCACATTTGACACTTAACAAATTTCAAAAATTGGTAGTAAAAGAATCGTGATCCCTGGACACAAGTCATTCGAAAGTGCAAGCGGTATGCAAGAACGTACCGTATGCGAACATTTTCGTTTTCTCCAAAAATCATTAGTCCTGCCACGCTTTCACGTACGGCCCAAAACAGCTGAATGTTACGAACAATTGCCATGCACATGCAACCGAACAAGTTGGGAAGAATTTTGCATAAGAATAATGAAGTTAATGAATGGCATGGGCCGGTGCAAGCTTTGGGAACGAACAGACATCTACAGACGGTGGTCAAACGTGGACATCGTTCGTAACGGACCGAGGGCAACATATGTAACAGCGACGACATGAAGTTATTACCGCACTCATTCGTGCTCTGGTCTATGGCCGCGCTTAGTGTAAGTTATTTATATTATTAACTGATTTTATTTGCCTGAAAATTCATCGAATTTTGTGTGAACTGAAATCCACTTGAACTTAGTGCAAGAGCTTTAAATATTAAATTGTATTCTATAATAGTAAATGCCATATTAGAACAGCAATTCTAGATATGTTAAAACTGATCAAATAAATTATACAGAGGTACATGGTGATATTGTGGACTTGAAAATAATTCAGTTAGTGCTAGATGATAGTTAAACACAATCTTAATCCGATGAAATAAACTTGTTTTTTCGGGCAGGTTCTTCTGTGTCATCCAGGCAACACGGCACTTGCAAGTAAAGTCGAAGATGGTGAAAATGCCAACATTACAGAAGAAGATATTAACTTAGAATCCCTATTCGAAAACATATTATTGGAACAATATCCAGATGACTACGTGGTTCTCACTCCTGTGGTTAACAGGCATGCTGAACAAACGACGTCCGCCCCAACGACTTCCGCGCCTAATATTGAAGAGCCATATTTCATCAATGAATTGACAATGCATGAAATAACTAATAGATCCAACCAAGTGTCAAGTGATGATTATCGGGATAAGGAAGTTTCGACTACAGTATTCGTGAAACTTACTGAAAACGTACCACCGATGGAGCTAACAGAAAGTGAAATTGCACTCACTACAGGAATATCAACGGAAGCAACCAATAATGGTGAGACTAAGATAATTAAGGAACAGGGAGAGTATACGAAGAAATCAACATCACCGTCCGAATTTCAAAAGCCGACAACAATAGCTCACTCGCAAATTGATATTCACCCGACCAGCTTGGTACATCCTAACTTTGCCATACAGGTCAGCGAAAACGGGTCAAAGACGCAAGTAAGTGTGGTAAAAGTGAACTTAGTGAAGCCCGTTTTTAATACCGGTACTGTTAATGACGGCAAAATTATCACATCGCTACCCAGCCTTAAAATGACAAGTCCACTGAAAATCCGAGATATCACAGCCAGCAAAACGACATCAGAGCCGTCAACCACTAAAATAGTCATGAATAAAGAATCTCTCGGCACTACATTCAACGTCAGAACTCATAGTTCCCAACTACGTAAAAAACAACCATCGAAGTCAAGTCAGGCCTCAGTGAAATGGACTAATACCGTGCGATTTCATCCCACTCAACCATACCAACAACCGCAATTTGTTTACACGCAACCGACACCAAGAAGAACGAAGATGTCAACAAGTGAATATCGTATTGCGACGAGACCAAAGTTGTCAGAAACATCAACAACCACTAAAGTTCCACGACCAACTCAGCCTCAGGTTCCGAAACTTTTGGTGACAGAAGAAGATGGATTTTACACGAGCACGTTGCGAGTAGGTACCAATAAACGAATACGTAGCAACTATCATGCTAAACCTTACTTTGAACTATCAAAGATGAAACACACTCAAGCTGAAAACGACAAACCTGAGAGATCAAGACCTAACACAAGCACCTCAGACGATTTACAGACTTACGAGCCCACTACCCAAGCATCAATAAGCGAAGGATACAATGAGACTACAACAGAAATATTGTTAGATTTTCAGACAGAAATGGAGCAACATCACCGCATACCAGCGAAGAACGAAGTCCCATCCACACCTAACTTGCTACCTCATCCGACACCGACACCCAGGCCAGCACCAGAGCGGGGACAGAACTCAATAAAATCTACTACACCTTCCTTTATTCCCAGTCATCATCAGTTATTTCATCAATCGACAAAATCAGCACCCAAATTCGTCAACAACATTTTTACAGGAAGATTGTCTTACAGTCATCCTACAGTAATGGATAACGTAAAAGCAACAGAACCGACCGAATTCTACCATCCTACAAGCAGAGAAACTTTCCCTCAAACTCCACGCACAGTTACTCCGAAAATAACTAAAATGAAAAAGGGTTCACATGAGAGATTGAAAAATTACGCAACCAGTTACGTGATACCGAATAACACCCTGCGTAAATTTTTATGAAAGCATTTTACGAAGGCAACATTGTTTAATATTCACGATCAACTCTAAATATGGCAAGGTAATTAGCAGCACAATTGGAAAGGAAATTCTCATCGAACAGTATAAAAAATTCAAACGCGTTAAAAGACTAATTTTCCATGTGGGTGCACACAATAGGCAGTGTGCAGATCATTTTTCCGGTACCGAGCGAAAGGTCGAACTTCCGAAAGTGTTGATGGATGATGAAATCCCATATACGCACGCATCGGAGCGCGACAGCTAGTGAGAGTGGAGCAGGCAAGTTGTGGAGGACTATCTGCTTGTAATTTAAGATCCGAGACTGCTTGGCGCTGACAGATAACGATTCCCGCGTCGTTTGTGTTGACAACTAGTAATTCACCGATCAGGAAATTATAAATGTCTACATAAAATATGCTCGCATAAAATCAATGTTGAAAGTAACATCACTATATCACTCAGATGACGGCGAAACTTGGTGTGTTATTTATTCATTACAATCACGAGTGTGAGAGTGAATACAATATCATTTGGGGCAAAAAATTAAGTTGAACGGCTAAAAAGGCAACTAATGTCGTAAAAGATCGGGACAGCTTTAGAAAGATAAGGACGGTTTCTAGAAAATGAAAATTATTTATAACGCACGAGGCAAATCATATTCACCACTTCCTGCATGGTAGTCAACGAGAAATTTACGAAGCAAATTATATAAACTACTCAGATGAAGTAATCACTGACTGTTCACTTTGATTACTCATTCCTAATTCGAGCTTAGCATCCAATAGAATACACTGAATAATGTACTTTTAAATTTAAGGCTCGGAATTCTTTTGATCACTAAACATTTTTAGAGCAAAAAATTATTGCGATCACTAAACATTTGCTGATCAAACAGAGGTGAGAGAGGGGAAAGACTATATTCGTACTTACCCTTTCGACCGCAACACAGGATAGACAATGTCGCTCACTCACCTGTAGAGAAACAAACAGGCTTGAAAGAACTTTTACATATCATCATAAGTGATTCCAGATAATAAAAATTAATAATTACGAAATTCCACTGATATTTCGCGTGAATTTCATATAAATTTAATAAGTACTCAATCGAGAAACAAAGAGACTCGAAAGAACACAAGGTAAGTAATATTGGAAGATTAAAAATAATAATACACAAGCAATTATTGCACTGCTACGTTGCGCTAGATTTTTTTCATGGAGATTAAATTAATGACAATTAGTAAACACGGGTCTAGTTCTCTTTTTTCACTCAGTCCCGCAACTCGTTTCGAAATTTCTGGTTGAAACGAGCAAGCTGGTTGGGGGTTAAGAATGGGCGACATGCCGATCAGAACTGAGGCCTGATCAGAACTGACATCTTATCATTATATACCATATTCTATTATCTTAAAAGAGAAATAATTACAAAAAGCTACAAGCGACATCCAGTTCAAAACGATCAAAACCAGATTAACAATACCTACATCCAGAAACGATCAAAACCTAGATTGAACCTTTCACCACCTCGGACAATGCCTCCGTAATTGCATGGAAGAATCTTCGGAAAATTGAAACACTCTCTCCCATAAGATCGCCGACTTTCGCGCGGACCAGCGGTCGTGATGCAGAGGATGAAGCAACGATTCCATCTTTTTTGCAACTTCACGGCTAATATAATGATAAAATAAGGTATATATCTGCTATCGTGAGTCTCGCTTCATGAAACTGAAATTCTCAAAATACACGATTAATCTGACCACGCCTGTACTATTTTCCTTGCCTTAATGCATCATGTACAATGTCGGGATAACGTCGATCAAATAAACTTTGTGACTAACTCACACAATTATTCATCCAAAACACGTAAAAAAATTGAAACATTCAAGTAATTGAATTAACTTCGATAGAACGTTTGCGTTTCACATAAACCTTGCGACGAAACCGACGAAAAAAACATCCACCCTGCAGTATATAACCACAGTAGTATATTAAATTGATATATAAACTGATAATATATTTTAAATACGGCAGTAAGTTTGAGTAGAATGATCTATACAGTCATACTTTTTACAGCATCATATTACAAAAATACGAGGCACGGTAAAAAACTAACCATTGACCGAATAGGATCGATCAGCAATATTCATTGAAGAGAAAGTTGGCGGTCGACTGTACAAGCCGTGAAACTATGCTTTGTTGCAATTACATTAATTAGCGGAAGTTCGTCGGTGTTGACAGAACAACTAAATAGTTTTGTAAGTTTACGAGCTACAATAACATAACGCAAGCTAAAGTAGTAAACTCGCGCGACAATAATTCGGAGACTTCAACACGAACGAGCTCGTTTCAACCGAGATTTAGTACCGTGCTCTATATATAAAGTTGTCAATTAAGTTACTTCATACTGCGTCTCTCTAACAGTGACACTAAAAATATAATACAGTTGGTGCATTATTTGAGTTCGATATACACACATAATGCTACAATGGTTTGAAAAGTTATATCTTACATAACCTGAATTATTATGATATAACATATCATCCATAAGATCATTTTTAGACAAAATATCAGTCTAATCATGCAAGTGGTATGAGAAAAAAATTAACTTCGTATAAAAACCAACTTTTTTAAAAAGTATTGTAATAAGGGAGTTTGGCTCTCTATAGGTCTTATTTTCTAACATGGAAAAGATTTGGCCGTAAGACAAGAAACTGGACTCAATTAAAGAGCTATACTCCAGAACTTTCGGACGCAATAAGCGAGAGAGAAGCAAAGCGCCGCAGAGCCGATACAACAGTTGGCAGCTAAGAGAATCGAGAAGAGAAAAGACGAGTAAGTAACCCGAGGCACGACCATGTGCGACAAATCATCTTCTAACACCAACAGGCGGCATCAGCACGCGAACACATCTAACTTTCTGTCCCTACACAGTCAATATAATCTAGACTGCGATACCGTACATCGTTGCGTGGCTAACGTGGAGAAATCCACTCGTCACAGAAGTGTTTATCGCAGAGCATCAAAACAACGACAATCTCACCGCGAAACACGATTCTTGCAAACGACGAACATTAAAGTCAGTACGATTAGTATGTCATATTATAAAAATTACGCTGCAACTATCTCGATTTCATAAACTTAGTAAAATGGTAAGTAGCTTTACAGAATAAATGGAGCAAAAGAGGCGAAAAAGTGGATGTTTACCTAGCATAAAAATTATCATTAATGAATTCAAATGAATTTTGACAATATTTTATACAGACAATACAAGTGAAACGCGATAAAATGACACAAATATTCTGAATAAAGAAATCTCAGAATACTGAACACAAAAAAAAATTCTCATACCTAAGTGAAGCGGCGTCACTTAATGCAAACACCCCATTGAACGAGAGAGCTCTATAAATTACATACAAAAGCAAGACTCGAGAATTAGGGCATACCAAGGGAGGAAGAGATGTGAAGAAAGAAACATTAGTGCGGGGAAAAGTTTCTGTTTCCTAGCCAGCGTCGCGGTTGCCGGCCAAAGAAGGAGTAGGAAAAGCAGAAGCTATATAAGCATCTGACAACATCCAGAGTCACGGCAGTTCCTTACTGTGCTTCATCAAGTGAAGAGCTCCTCGCAACAACAGATCATCATGATTAAGGTAAATACCACACTAAAATGAAGAGTAATTATTGACTATGAATAAAAGTGATTCCTGTAAATTGTGCATTCTTATTTCAGACAAGTATTATCCCAATTTTTTCTCAACTGATTAATATCATCAAGATTATCTTTGAAACTTTATGAGGAAAAAAACATCACATCATATTATTTAGCGACATCATTAGTTTTTATAAGCGTAATTAATTACTGGTCTTTGTAAAGGTAATTGTTTGGATGTCAGCGGTGCTGGTAGTAGTGCCAGCGCTGCCAGTTGCGGACGAGCGTCCTCATCAGTTCGAGCCTCAGCAGCCACTCTACGACCAAGAGCCTGAATTCAAAGCGCATCCTAGCCCATACAAAGAGGTAAACATCCCAGACACATGAATTGAAACGTAAAAACAATTTTGCAATTAATTATTCTACCAAAATAAAATTAAAATTCGGAATGAACTGCAGACAGAAATGAAAAACGTTAACTGGTGAATGAGAGGTTGCGATAAGTTTACAGTAAATTTACGAGTAGATGGGAAAACCCTGAAAGGCGAAAATTTTGAGTGCAAGTTTTTAGTTTGATACAATTCTTGAACAAAAGTACTCCGATAGCTTGTAAGAAAGAGGATGAACAGAGCAGGTGACATAGATGCCATGCAACAGTACATAATGGGACTGCACTTTTCCACAGAGGCTTCCTGGTTCTGAAATTGTTGTATGGATTAATGAAACTAATTTATCATTAATGCATCCAGCTTGCTCGAAATTCCAGGACCAAACTAATCCCGTTCAATTATTTACTAAAATCAATTCACGCTTCTAATGTATCAACGTTTCAGGAGCCCCCCAAACCGTACGCATTCGACTACGGAGTTCGCGACGATTATTCCGGCGCCAACTACGGACACTCGGAGACGTCCAACGGCAACTCCGTCGAAGGCTCATACCAGGTCGCCTTGCCCGACGGTCGCATCCAGATCGTCAAGTACGTGGCAGACCACAAAAACGGCTTCCAGGCGCAAGTAGAGTACGAGGGAGAGGCAAGATACCCTGAACATAAACCCCAAGAAAAGCCTTTATATGAACCCCAACCTCACAAGCAGCCTTCCTATGAACCAGAGCCATACCAGCCACCCCAACCACAATACAAGCCACCTCAACCACAATACAAGCCACCTCAACCACAATATCACCCACCGCCGCATAAGAAGCAATCTTTCAAGCAAGTCCCACAGTACCACTCAAGCGAGCCAGAACCTAGTTACCAGGAGGCCCCTGAGGACTTGCCCATCTATCACCCTGACGTTGGACCAGAATTCAAGTAAATACATAACCTGAGGCCACAAGTCGAGAACGCTGCTGATAATTTAAGCTTCGACAGAGAATAACTGTCAAAATCGACCTGAGTCACAGAAACTTTAATCAATTCGAAGCAACATTGACGGGACTTCGGAAATCAAGACACTACATCAGGTTGAAGAAATAAGAAGCTGTTTTTAATGGATTACAATTAATACATATACTACACGCTATTTATTTGTTAGACAAACAACACTGTTTTAGACGCTTAGGTTTATATTGCAATTGTTTGACTATTTTTCTTTGTTGACTATTTAATATAAATTGCAATCAGGCATTGAATTTTGACTGCCTAGTCATAAAAACGATGAAAAAATAAAAAACGTCTTATGTCTTATAATTCTTCGTTTCCGTACTCCTCGAACAAGCCTCCAAACATAGAAGATAGAACCCATGAAATAATAAGGAATTTACTCTTCACTCGAAACCTTTGGCATGTCATAGGTCGATATCAAGCAGGTCGATATAAAATAATTTCTACATTTCAGCACACATATCTTCAATCTATAGATTTTAGCTCTGAATCAAAGAACGATATAAAATTATCTGGAAAACAATTTAATGTAAGAAATACGAAAATTTTACAGTTGGTGAAACAGATAAACATTAAATGAAATTAATTGTTACAATTTGATAGGAAATTTGTTAGGAAATATATTATTCCTAATTTCTAATAAGTATGCGATTGAGCATGAGAATGAGTTTCTATGTTGTTCTCATGTATATAAAAAACATTTTTCCAGTGCAGCTGAGAAAGAGTTTTCAACCATCTTCTTTTCAATTGCTTTACAAAAATTATATTCTTCAATGCAAGTGAATTTGAGTGAGCAGAAATCGCACAGGTTTCCGTCTCAAGGCATCAGAAAACTACCAGCAGGAAAAATTACTACATATCACAAACGCTTAAGCATAAAAGTCTGAGAGATGAATTTAAAATTTATAGGAAAGAAGAATTAAGGAAGACAAATATTTAAATAAACAAAATTCAAAAGCAATAGTAAAAAAGCGATAGAGTTTAAACTGCATTTTCCAACAAAAATGAAAATACAAAGAATGTAATAATACGCCTCGGAACGTTTATGTTAACATTTTCCTAAAAATCACGAACACAAACCTAAATATTTTCAACTCATTCGGTACGAGTTGAAAAATATGCTAAATTCTGACAAGCTAGCGAGCCGCCAAAGTAAGGAGAGCTGGGTTCATAACCACTGCATTGGTTGCATAAGAACGCGACTCTCCGAATAAGGGGCGCGTGCAGTACAATGCACGGGAACAGCGTCAAAACAAATACGACAAAGCGTATCATTACGCGCACTGCGGTGTGACATGGCCTTATGCGGTTGAAAGTGTCTGCACAGAATGTGGGGAGTGCAAGTACCGTAGATTATGTGCATAACAAACCTATTTATGTTGGCGTTGTAGCATATCCTAACGCATTGTAAAGTTTTTACCATGATGTGAGGAGTGCAACAAAATAGATTATTTTTATTACTGACAGTATATAGTAGATGCTACATGATGTAAAAGAGTATACTAATAATGAATGCGGCATCTTTGATATTTCTTGCTAATTCAATAATGAAACAAGCTCATACTATGTAAATTAAATGTAGCATATTTTAGATGAAACTCCTTCAAAAAACTAATCATTTTAATAACTATAATCACTCGATCACGAAACACCAAACTCATTAAGACAAACTACATTTTTTGCTATGAACAAAAAAAGAACGATAGTGAAAATGAGATAATTATAATTGTTACAATTATCGGCAAAGCAATACTGTGCAGCTGAAAGCGTTACTGATTTTAAATCAAGTTACTGACTAGGAAAACTCAAAACAAATATTGTTCTTGAAACGAAGCGCAGAGTTAAGCGCATTTCATCCAAATCTTGCAAGAGCGCAGTGCTCGCGACACCTCATAAACTGTACAGATAAAACATATCGGCCGTCGATCTGATGCTTGAAGCATCGACATCGGACGATGTTTACGAAGGAAGGGTGACCATATTTTGCAAAGTGTCGACAGATTTTGGGAGGTTAGAAGACGAGACGCAAACGACCATCAGGTTAAGGTTGTTCACCACACCCAAATGTGCGGTCACGAGCAGCGCGCTCGCATGCAACCGTTAACAATCAACAAGAAAATTCAAGCGAGAGTCGATTATGAATTGATCAAAGTTTGGTTGACCTCGAATGCTTTAAATAGAACAATGAAAGTTCAAGGGAATGTTCTGGGATAAATCACATACAATGTGACTAAAAAAAATTTAAAGAATATTTAGATAGATACATTGCGATGCAAGCTGATTAATTTTACCCAATTGGGAGATTACATGTACATTTTTTAAACACACAGACGCGCAAGCAGGAAAGGATTCTTCCATATCATCAGAATGAATTTTTCTTCACTTACTTTCAAAGCTAATCTTTCAGACGCGTGTGCACTCGTACACGAGACAAAATTATTCAAATATTATTCTACGACGATAATATTCTCAATAGTTCAAGCATGACGAAAATAAAAGAACGTAATATTGAAGGTTGTCAACAATTTTGAACGACAATTAAAAGTGAACAAGTTATAGCCCCAGACCTCGGGTTCAATGAAGAGGAAAAATGTTTGTTTGAGGTCACACAAAATCGCAAGCAATGCAGTGAAGTGCACCCATTGAGCGAAATGGAACTCTCACGAGCACATTTCCGACGTCTTACTGACATGCAACATGATCGTGAAAGGCAGGCTATGATCATCAACCGTCACAAATATATTCTCCGGACCGAAAACGATTAACCTTGAACAGCTCGTCAAAAATTACGCAGTGATGTTTTTATCGGATAATTTTAACAGAGATGGTCTGATATCACCACTGTTATTTTGACATGGGTGATCCGTTCATTGGTAATGCGCTGGCCAATGGCTATATACGTACTATACTTTGGCCTCAATGAAATTCTGTCCTAATTTCCATTTATAGGAAATTAAATGAACTGGTTTCATACAAATTCCCTCAGTTGTAGTTGTCCTGCAAAAAATAACGAATTTTGTGTATACCACAGGTGACATTGGCTATTGAATGGAAACGGCTGACAGAGTGCAAATTATCTTCGAAACAAGACCGCATTATATAGCAGTGAAACGCTTCAGGCAAGCCCATTGCATTCAAGCCCCGCGCCCGAGACCGAGTACAATGCTATTTTGTAAGACGTGTGTGTACCGGATGGAGTGAACTGAGGTCAAATGCTCTAGAACATTTGCACGAACCTATAAGAAATTTTTAACGAATGCAAGGCTTCAATCAATCAATAGTGTCTCCGTAATTTAAATGGTAATGCATGGAATGTCCCTCGATTTCCTCTTGTGACATGGCAAAAAGCAAGTCAGCTAAATTAGTAAAAATTATCGGAATATCTATAAATGGAAAAATTTTGCTTTTAATGAAAGAACTGGCAGATGACATGATTAATTTGATTAAAAAAATACAATATTTCGAAGAATGGTAATTGTAGATTGCAAAAAGTGTCGAGAAATATGCAGTCACAACACAACGAGCAACGCCAATTCCACATGCGTGTAGTTCCTTAAGCGATCTGATGAAATATCCGCCATGCTATACGCAGCTATCGCGAGGCTCCAGCGAGACGTCGATATCAAGGGGAATGTTAACAAAGAAAATATCTGACAGCTTTACATGATGAATGGGTCAAGGGTTCGATGAACAGAACTGATCCAAGGCAATACATGAGAAATTCAGCAATGAATCAGCGTCAACGGAATAATGAGTAAACGATGTTGTTGAGGAAAATTGACGAGTGGGGAAATCTTTATCTTTATATTTAATACTATATCTACGCGTTAAGTTGAATGTACAATAATATAAGAGAAATAGAAGCAAAAATTAGTCTTTCAGTATAGAAATAAAGCAAGTAAAAATAGAAGCCACCGACACATGGCACTTTCGACGTGAATTTTCTCAAGCAAAAGGAGGTCAACAAACGAGACTCAACCCTCCAATGCAGTGTTGCGTGCACAAGCCAAATATGAGTGACTGCTCTAGATTCAAAAGATGATAGAGAAAACTCTACTCACTTCGAGCGACCAGTCACTTATGATGCATGTTATTGCAATGAAGTTTTTTGTTCCGATTACACCTCTGTAATATATGCTTCGTTCGAAAGCAAGCCTTATGTCAGGTTTAAGCCACAGCGAGGATATGACGTTATATAGTTTTAAAAATTTCCGTTGAGAAATGCAAGATTTCAATTTTGGCTTGAAGATTTCAATTTTGGCTTCAAGATTTCAATTTTGGCTTCAAGATTTCAATTTTGGCATCAAGATTTCAAGTATTTTTTTATACATTCCAGACTAATTCAGTTCACTAGTTAAAGTTTATGCCAATGAAGAGGTTGTCAGTTTCAACGACGATATAAAACTCGACTAGCAGATCGGAGTTCAAGGGAGCGAATAGAAACTTAGTAATTAAGTTATAACTAAGCTATTTTACAGGCGATTGAGATCGTATAACATGAGTGCGGCAGCTGCTCGAGGCTAATCATAACCCAGTGAGTTATTATCAAGTAGAACAACGCGCGCACCCCAAAATATTCAAAGCCTCAGGTCATCACGTATTATAAAAACACATTAATCCACGGGCGAACGCGGTACACCTTCCAGTGTAATGATCGTGTTCTGACAACGAAATCTACAAAAAGGCTTTAAAAATTCTTCATGAGTGAAAAAAAAGTGATGCAAGACAGCAGATTTGGTACGATGAAAAATAAATTTTTAACTTTCATGTCGATCATCTATAATAGAAAATTAGCTATAGATAATTCTCATGTGAGACAAAGAGACTTCACGTACAATCCAAAATTTAGAAAAGATGAAAAAAAAACAAAAAAAAGTATAACAACTTTTATAACACACCTGTGACACTGAATTTCCCACACCTGTGATGTCTGAATATGTTAATTTCCACCATTTCCAATAAGTTGAATTACTAATAATTATTTTTCATACTTAAATTAAATTTAGTACTTTCTTACATTTTACCAATAACGGGATAATACCATTTACTACTAATCTACACGAACTGGGAACTTGTTAGGCCTGAATGGTCAGATATGTTCGGGATCATTGGAAATGTTGCTGCGGGGAAATTTTTCAAGCGGCGATGGCTTGAGTGTAGAAATAGAATACACACTTTTTGAGCTGCAACCAAAACTTCCCTGCCCTTCTTAGAGTCCTAAAATTTCCACCTACTACAAGAAGGGTCTGGAATCAGTACGAGGAAAGCCAAACTGGAAAAGTTATGCCTTCCTTGCATGCCAAGTTAGAAAACATCAACCTGAGGGTCACGAGATAAACGCATCAATGAATGCTATTTAAACGCGGCATGTCAGAGAAGTTAGATTCATCATTGTCCGCGTCTGGACATTATTGACATATTCCTTGCAGATAGAAAAATCTTGCAGCAATTCAAATTGGTTTTGAAAAACGACTCAGTACTTTTTTATATGAATATTTTTAATAACAGGGTGGAATGATCTCGGCAAACTAAAAACAGTCGGTACAAAGCCTTAAAATAATCAAAATGTTAAATGAAAAGCATTTTTCCTAAGCAGCATGTGAAAATCTACTGCACTGCACATGGCTAGAAGTGAGTCAACGCTAAACTTAAATTAAATCGCATATTTTCAGAAGCAGGCCTATATGTGCGGTAAAAGAGAAAACATCTTTCTGTTAGCATCAACGCATTCTGCAAGCGTTCGAACAGCACAAGCGCGACTATAGCTAGTAGACCGCTAATGCATTGCGGAGCGTCAGTCGAGCAGTCGCCACCTATTCTAATGAAGCGGTCAACCTGACGACCTCACGACCATTTAAGAATTAGCAAGAGCTTACAGCTCACACGCAACATTTCCAGCTATGAGAAGAACAACAGGAGCAGAATAATCTAGAGTAACAATAGACTAGCGTGAAAAATATATTTACGAAAATCATGTAAAATAATACTTACCCCCAGGCAACTGAAGTTGAAATAACGCTGATCAAGTTTAACTTCAGTACAAGTAATTTCTCAATGAACACTAGTGCAAAAGTATTGGTAATTATATAAAAAAACTGCTAACGAGTTCGGAAAATGTCCACTACTATAACCCCACCAAGACTCAAATTCATGGTAAAAAAGATTTTTGGTAATAAAGTAAGTTTTAAAGGCCAAGTTTAGGTGAAGCAATGCTGTGTGTTACCAGCCTTGATGTAATGAGTCTTTAACAGCACAACACGGGACGCTGACCGCCTACCTATACACGATGGCTAAAAGTTTGATTATTCGTGACCGGTGTCACTGCAAGACCTGCATGCGGTCGAGTGATGGGAAAAAATTAGAAGGTTTAAAAAGAACACGGTTATCAATGATGAATAAATCGTACGGTTGTAAAAGCGGTGGTCAAGTGGTGGTGACAAGAGTGGATTAAAGATAGGACTATTACCTCGTAGAGGTGATGGGAAAAACGTTTCATTTAAACGTGAACATGGTCACTTTTACACGACTATAGCATTGCGGTCAGCTAAAAGAAATGCAGTTTAGGGATGTTCAGCATAGCTTCAACAAAGGAGAATAGGGCGATTTATGTTTAAGGTCTCGTACCTCTACAGGAAAAGTGTTCTTGCAATTATGAAAATTGATTGATGAATACATGACCAGCTACCGTTGGTTATAACGTCTCGCTCGTTTGCGAGAAAGAGAGTTCTAGTGATGTGGAAAATGACTTGATCAAGGTACAATTGTTACCCAAGAGCAAAAATATTAGCTCCTTATTGAAGCATAGTAGTCACAGTTCAGGCCTCTTAGCAATAGAGCAATTAATGGAACGAGGCAAATCCTCACGAGATGAAAAGTGGAGTGAATTTGTAACTTATCTTAAAAGCGGCCGAAAACGCTTTTCAGTAGATGAAGCAAGATAAATATTTGGCTAAATAAAGTGCTGTAACTAAGGCCATATCACGCAAAACGAATCTGTACACTCAACTAACGATTCAGATGTTTCTAAAGTAATAAGAAAATTAAATACGACTAGTCATGAATGTTTTTTCATATCTTCTTTCATACGCGTGCTGCACACCCAATGCATACTCAACGAAATCAGTTCAAACGTACACTAAAAAGTTCACTGCACGAGATAATCAACATATGCCCAGCTAAGTGAGCTAACCTACCCACGAACTCCAGTATGATAATTTTTGAAGTGACAATAAGAGTCAATAAACAAGCGAGATCGTACGTTGATACAAAAAGTATAACTCAGTACTCACTGCAGTGAGTGACAGAGCGCATTTTCTCGTCGACGAAAACGTGAAGTCACGGACGGACGGACGGACAGAGAGACAGACGGACATGGCGAGCACAATAGCGCCTTTTTCAATAAATGAGAAAATGCGCTAAAAATGGTATAGCGACAACAGAAAGTGTGGATGGAAACAATAATTGCCTGCAATGGTGCATGAATGAAAGCATGGGAACACCCTCGATCCAAGAGGTCACACCAAGCCATCGAGTGAGGGAGGGAGCACTCCACCCTCGTTACATTCTTGAGCGACCTTGCCATAACGAAGACCCCTCAGCGATAGAAGGGCCGGTCGGAGTATATAAGCCAACGAGCAATTCAATGCATCACCAAACGCTCAGTGCATCTGCTCGAAGCAACAACATCAGCTGCTTCCTCGAACGAACTCGCAAACTTCTACCATCATGACGGTGAGAAGTGGACTTGATATTAATATACTGGATAATTAACCAAATGAATAAAATCTATTGAGGTGAATTGGAACGCCTGAACTAGTCGTCTACTCTAAACGACAGGAAGAATGTACGCGTCCAAGTTCAAACGAATAGCTTGATAATGGAGTTCTTAGGTTACGGATGACGCATTGCTATAGTTATTCAACGTTACTAGCTTGATGTTATGTTGATTGTTATTCAACGTTGCTAGCTGACATTGCAACAAACAAATATCGTCCAATAAATATTCAACGTCAATAAAATAAATTCCAAAATTGTTAGTCTTGTATGAATTGATACAAAGTAAGAAAATTCATGTCACACATAGGAACCGAGGTTTAAAAAAAATTATCAATTTGATAAAAGGCTAATCTAGCATAGTTTAATTTTTTTATCGCTCGTTTCAAAATGTGTTCCCTGCATTGCTGACGTTTGAATTATTCACTCATGCATTGCTGATACAGATGCTGGCAGTAGCAATGACAGCAGCAGTTATGCTGAGCAGCGTGATGGGTGACAGGCCGCGCTACCAGCCTCCTCAGTACCAACAGCCTCACCATCAGCCGCAGTACAAAGAGGTCCAGCATTAAATTGAGTTGAATATATCATTAGACTGCTTAGATCGTAAGTTCATTACATTAATGTAAAGAAAACGCTAAAGAACATTAATGTAAAGAAAACGCTAAAGAAAACGCTTTTTTCGAACATTTTTTCGATGCAGATATGATGAATTTATTTAGCATTGTTTTTGCTTTTGAATTCTTGGTGAACACTGAAATTTATCTCGCTTACGAAATAACCGGTCATTTATTTAGAAGTACAAATAGAAACAATTAAAAGCTATTTTCTAACTACAAACTTCAAAAAGTATCTTTAGTCAAATGTTTTATGAACAACAATCTTTTGCGGTCCAATTGTCTAACTCAGTTATCCCATGCCCATAGAAAGTAAATTTCAATTACATCCCTCACCTGTCCCATGTCGAATCAGGAATTATCAAAAAAAAAGTCAAGCATGCATGAATCTGGAATGAAGGCGTTAAATGACAACGACATTGATGCGCATGAACTTAACAAAGCATTTTGTGAACAAGTTAGAATTATTTATAATTAGGAACATCGTTTTTGAACGATGATCGCCAATCAGTAAAACAAGCGTCATAATTTCGATACCTTTCGATTTTTTGAATTGATTTCAAATGATCTAACAAACTGTAATTGACTAGAGTCTCTCCTATATGTTATATGTTCTGTATAAGATGAGTTCAGAAGTTATTATTCGTTACTATAATTTAAATGATCTTACTGAATAGTCATTGGCCACAATCTATGGAATATATTCGTTCAAGCAGAGAATTAAAAATTAATCTATCGAAAAATAATTTCGCGTGATCTAATAAATAGTGATGATACTCGTGCAAGTAGACAGCATTACGACATTATTTTGGCGACGCAGGAAGCGAGGCCGTACCAGTTCGACTACGGGGTGCAGGATCAGTATTCCGGCGCCAACTTCGGGCACAGCGAAACATCCGACGGACACGCCGTCAAGGGGAGCTATCAGGTCGCTCTGCCCGACGGCCGCCTCCAGATCGTCTCGTCAGTATTTCGTGAATTGTTTTCGTTTTATTAGTAGACCAATAATATTGTAAATGACACGTCTTCTAATACGGAAGCAGAAAATACTCAATAAATAATTGTATTGTAACAATTAAACTAGTCAATATACTACACAAAATTAGTCAACCAGTTAAAATGAATTAAAACGAATTCATAATTCACTAGAATGCTTAAAAAATACACGTAAGAACAACTACAAGTAGCCAAAATAAGAAGAAAGAATTAATAATTCTCAATTGCTCGAAATGAAACAACTTTTCCCTCTCCAGGTACGTTGCCGACCACGTCAACGGGTACCAGGCTAAAGTCGAGTACCAAGGAGAAGCCAAGTTCCCCGAATACCGGCCCCAACCCCAGTACCAACCCCAACCCCAGTACCAACCCCAACCCCAGTACCGGCCTCAGTACAGCTAAACGGTACACGAACAACGCGCCCTACGAACGACGCGCAGTACGAACGAAAATAACTTAACGCACCCAACGAACTTTCCTAGTGATAATCTGTTTATGTATCTAGGAAATAAATATCGAAATTATAATGTATTTTCTGCCTTTCTGCAGTCCTTTTGAGTTAAAATAGTAAAATTAGTTGCGAGGTTTGAGGAAGATGTACAATACATGTAATGACAGATGCAAGATATTCTAATTAAGAAATAATAATATTGCCTTCGAATAGCTAAGCTTGAGAGAGCGAATTGCTGAGCTAGAGGAGGAAATTTAAAAATTTTTTTTTTTTTTGATCAACATTTTGATTATTAAAGTGCACGTCAGCATTAATTAACTGTTAGGAAACACGACAACACGACATGTGCTAATTCGGATAATTTTGAAATTATCTGTGGAAATCTTATATTTCCAAGCCAGATTTAAAGATTAAACTTGAGATTTCTTTTCAAATAAACGCCTAATTTGAGCCCAGAATGTCCTTAAAATATAAGTGGAGCAGATCGGATTGTTGCAATCGTAATTTCTTATATATTAGAAAGTTTTGTGATGTAGAACATCTAAACTCAACAAAATATAATTTGTTACTGTTTTTTTTTTCATTACGAATATTATTACCAATTTACCATTAAATATTATTCTGAGTTTCGTATGAAAGTATTTTTGTTAAACAAGGGCTTAACCGGATTCTCTCATAAGCTACGCTATGTTATAGATCGCAAAATTGCCATCTATTGCACATTTCGGATATACAGTTTTTGCGTTTGAAGCCGGCAGAAGAAATATACAGAGTTGATTTCAGTGCCCATCCACAATACTGTTTGGTCGGTACTGTATCAGGATAGGATATTTAATTTTTTTCGCTATGTAATCAAGAAAGAAAAAGGCGTCGAAAAATGGAATGCGTTTAGAAATAAAACAGGAATAAAATAAGGTTTCTTTGTCGATGATTTGAACGTGTCGTCTATATCAGATTCGCATTACTGTGTGATTTGTTAACGGAATATTTGCTTAATTGATCCCAGCGAACGCCGCTTTAATCCGCTTAAACTATAGAGGCCAGCATCTACACAAGGCTGACGACGTAAACCTCTTCGATCAACTTTCCAAAGCGTTCAATATTGCACAAACATTTTCCCTGTGAGTTTTAATAACAACACATAACTACACGCGGTTCAAGGTGGAGGGCAAGTAAGAACCGAAGTTCAGCAGGAGCGACAAGGACGGAAGTTTCCATGGTAAATGGTTGGATTGGCGGTGAAATCAGCGTGTCAACCCATAAATAACCAACGCCAAAGCTCTGATATTCTTCAATTGCCTGCTATCTAACAGAAGCGAATGTCAGCCCTTTGACGTCAACAACCTTTGAAGATCAAATTATACACAGCCAATGTTTAGATACGGAATTAAATTCCGTCTAAATGAGGTAAAAATTACGACCGTTATATCGAAATTCAAACAGACGGGTTGTTACTTAGAGCTTTTTTCAGCAACTTTCGTCGCAATCCAAAGTCGCAAAAAAGTTTTTCGACATTATTACGTTATATTTTGATGCTTTACCGAAACAAGTGAGGAGGCGAATGAATAAAACTTCAGTTTATAACAGGGGCATGAAAAATGCTTTATTCGAAATAGATCAATCGAAACAGATATCCTGACCAAACATCAGCACTGAGCTAGCACACAAACGATGCATGAGGAGTTGTAAATTTAAATGGTCACAGAAACAGAATTTTAGTCGCATTTGGGGTGAAAATCAGATTAAATTTTCATATCTGTATTTGTTTATAGTTATAATACTTATATTACATAAAATTATACGATCTTATAAAATTTTAATTTTTTGTTTTTGGGAATACTACACATTCCCATTCATTGAACACATTTTGTAAATTACAAAAGAATAACAAGAACTGGATATGTGTTTTTTAGTTCATTTTTATCTTCGGTTATATGCATTTTTACTTCAATTAAATGAAAATTTCACTTACAAATATCAGTAATATGGAACACAGTCCGAACAATTGTCATCGGAGGTCCTCTACAAAATTTAAGCAGTATAGAGAAGTTACCCATGACAATTAGAGATTTCATATTAGGGGCGAGTACAACAGAAAACTTTCGTTCCGATGGCTGACACAAATAATTAACTCTCGGCGAACTCAACTTCTAAACTAACGCTGGACTACAGTTAGAACAACAAGAACAACACTCATACACAAATGCGAACAATGATTATCACTGGAACATATTACATATGCACTGATTCTGTCACAGAAGACGCAATGTGCGAGTCTAAGCTACACCTAACAATCGAAAACTCAACATATTATAGATCGTAACTGAAATATCATGAGAAATGAGATTATGCATAACCTGGAAATTTTTCAGCTATTTATCGTCAACATTACTATCCTTTCGTCGAATTGATATGTAAATTTACCTACATCACTGTGCACAGCAGAGAAGCAGCTGCGTAGTACGAGACGAAATCAAACACAATAATTTTAAAACATCGTTAATCAATCTGAGTACAGCGAATCAGTTTTTATCGAATGTAAAGATATTGCTTCCCAAAATATTTTTTTTTTTTGTAGCCAGTGTAACAGCTACTGACTTGTGGGCTTTTGCGGGGCGCTACACCTTTGGGTAAACAGGGATAAGTTTCGCAAATTCCTGAGACCACATTTCGGCCAATAAGAAGTCCCCGATGGCAAAATGGATACAAGTGAACGGAGAAAAAGAGGCAAGTATTTTATTTGGGGGCAGCTCAAAGTTTTAATAGGGTCCAAAGTTGGAGGACAAGCCAGGTTGAGCGTATCCGGCCGCTGGCGTGGGGAGCACAGGCACAAGAGAGTGAGACTTTGGCCAAATGGCGATGCACTTATTGCTTTTGTGTGTCATCTTGAGCCCCACAGTGCGTATCAGTGCTACGGCCGCTCTCTGCTTGTGTTGTGTGGTAAAAAGTGCGTCACTATCTGGATAATACAACCCAATAATTTTTCTGAGTGCCGAGACCCTGGAGAGCGCCTTATCTCGCAAAGGCTACCCGCCAATGTAGGAGCATTCCTATTAGCATAATGACCGGCCAAGCACGGGTCGTGTGTTCAAAGTTAGGCTTAAATTGCCCATTGTTTGCCCAATATTTCGCACGCATCGTACATTTGTTCTCTAATTAAATGAAGATTAGACGCTAACTACAAGCTTGTGAGAGGCTTAAACACAAATATGATTAAAAAACGGAACAATTAGGTTGCGCAGGAACACAAGTTAATGATTTACAGAAAGTGCATGCCGGGAAATGAGGCAAGAAATATACAAACAAATAATACAATATTTCATTAATATGGAACTATTTTCCTTCCTCAAAACGCTAAGTGAAAGTAACTATCGCACAGAAGGCCATACGTCAATCAAAAATCCATTCATCGATAACTCTAAAAATCAGAGATGACTGATATTTCCGATAAACTATGAAATTAATATCTGTCTTTTAAGAGACAAAATATATTCTATCTCTTAGATTTATCTGTTATTTATATTTACCCATAAAACGGCACCATGATAAATTGGCTTGAAATTAATCCACTGAAATTTAACAAACGCCTATCATATATGATAAACCAATGCATTTACCTAAGAAAAATAACATTGAATTGCCAGATGAATGTTCATATTCCCAGTACAAGAAACAAAATGTTCCAATGAGTAAAGAATGAGATGCTGAGGCGGTTAACTCACCTAATGGAGAAGCTAGTTTTTTACAATCTGATGGACTCGTAGCAATTGATTTACCAAGACAAGAGCAATCTGTATGCATTAACCTACAACAGAATACAAGCGATCCGACAAAGAGAACACCTGGTCCGAAAACGAGATTACTCTATCATCATGAGCAGTGTTTTGAATTGATTAATAAAGTTAATTTCCAATTGACACAATCATAAGCAGTGGAACTGACCAATATCTGATCTCCTCTTTATTTTTAAGTAAAAAACAGCAACCATGTTGTTGACACGATAGAAATCGTCGAGCTCATGCAACGCATATGAAATTCACCTTGTGTATGAATGAAGGCGAGGGCGATGATGACCCTAAATATGGTTCAATAAAGGTCAATGGCGAGGATCATGCAGCGCGTGCAGGTCGGAACACTCACGTCCAAAAACGTGATACCATCTAACTTGTTTTGGCAGTTTCATTAAAACGATCCTTTAAACATTTTGAACGGCGTTTTTTGAACCGTTAATCTATCAAAATAATTGTACAAAAAAGTGAAAGTCTATTTTTCATAATTATGATAAATATTTTCGTTTCGAAATTATTATAGTTCGCGATATCTTGAAAGCCGAAACATTTCATAAAAAACTTTGCACAACACGCGTGAAATAAACTGACTTCCGTTCTATAACTGGATATGAAACATCATTGAAATTTTCCCGGCATATCAAATAACAGTAAAAAGTTCAAAAAACATGTTTGCCATTATTGATTTAGTGCTAGAAACTAAGTATGTTACCACCTATAATACTTGGGTCGTACGAAGATCAAACACCGACGAGCAGACATGAGGTTCGTGAACGCCGGCAATAGTGCGTCAAGGATCAAAATATTTACCCGAAGATCCTGATGAGCAATTAAGGAGGCATTTTTTGAACCGTTAATCTATCAAAATAATTGTACAAAAAAGTGAAAGTCTGTTTCTCATAGATATGATAAATATTTTCGTTTCAAAATTATAGTACGCGACAACTTGAAAGCCGAAACATTTCATAAAAAAAGTTTGCACAACACGCGTGAAATAAACTGACTTCCGTTCTATAACTGGAAATGAAACATCATTGAAATTGTCCACTTTTCCAGGCATATCAAAATAACAGTAAAATGTTCAAAAAATTATAACTCAGTGCTCACTGCAGTGAGTGACAGAGAGCGCATTTTTTCGTCGACGAAAACGTGAAGTCACGGACGGACAGACAGACGGACAGACGAACATGGCGAGCACAATAGTGCATTTTTTCATAAATAAGAAAATGCGCTAAAACATGTTTGCCATCATTTATTACGTGCTAGAAGCTAAGTATGTTACCACCTATAAT